AGCCACGTAAGCTTATACAATTTACGAACATCTCAAGTTCATTGTGCTTGTGAACCCAAAAAACCTTTAAAGGCATGTATTTAGTCGATCTTCATACGATTATGTGGTTACGTGGACTTACGAGGGTTGACGTAAATGCCTCATTATTTTTAAAAATTTTTTACAAGGGTAGCCTTTTGTGAAAAATATGTAATTGAGGAATTGTGCTTGGACGTAGTCAGGGAATGTGTTACATCGTATCAGAAACGTTACAATGGTCAAGGATGCTATCGCCGTGCCGAGGATTTTTTCCGAAAGACTTGTCACGCTTTTTGTAACCACTGACCAAATTTTTGCGGTGATGACAAGAAATTGCAAAAATGTGAACGTCTGCACAAACATTGCCTGCCTTTTAGAAACTGTAGTTATTTTGCCAGACGTCTTATCAAACTTTACGAATACACAGTGAAATTTATTCCCTAATGCTAAATGGTGTTTTACTTGTCGGAAAATTAACATTTTGCTCATTTTTATAAAATATGGTGCGACCTGGATCTTTATACGGTGTACACGTAAATGAGCAACGAGTCATGTAAGCTTTCCAGGGCAATGGAGAAAGCTTAAATTAGAAAGTAAATTGTATCAAATGTTTGCCAATGTAAGGGTAGGGACATATGTACATATCCATGACAAGGATAAACATTTAAATATTTATTAGATATGTTAATCATCATTAGAATCCCAGGGTTAAGTCGGAAGTGAATAAAGACATATATTTGATTATTTCGGACAACTGGAACTCACTTAATGTGGAAAATTATGTGTTACACGTTAAATACATAGCATTACATAATTGCTTCCTTGCGCAGAGGTGACCTTCCAAGAATAAATATATAAAATGAATGTCTTGATGTTAATATAAACAACGTGAAAATGTTTATACGGTGAAATCATTTGTGTTAGTCACCTCATTTGCATATTTTGACGCATTCGCAAGAGAAATAGAGTTTATGGAACATGGAAAGCTGAACAGAGGCATAGTGAGATTTATGCAAATGAGTTGGCACTAATAATTCCACTGGTACATATGTACGTAGACTACCTCACCGTTAATTGTACATATAGGAGAGCGTAAAATACGAAATCATTAATTTCGTTTGTGAAATACTTATCATCCGGAAGTCCATCATGCTCAGGCTCAACAACTTAATAACTTTTCTTGTTCTCTTGGGAATATCGTCTTTGCATGAAGACTTGAAGTGACCACGATTTTTTTAATACTGATGTATTTAGATGCATGCACTTGATACAAATGGAAATTCAAATCGAGTCATTCCATTGGAGTTTATGTATGTATGTACATAGATTTAATTTTATATTAATAGGTATTCATAATTTATCAGGATTTCAAGGCATTTTTACACAAAATTCAAGTCAAACTTATGAATCAAGTTCTGAACGAAAAGCCATTTCTGGATATTTCCATTATTGTAATTACCTAAATGACTTTTGGGAAGAACATTTTGAGACAATAATTGTCAGTTGGGGGCAGGGTTTGCTACCCCGGGTTTTTGTGGGTTGGGGTTTTTGGGGTTTTTGTGGGTTTTTGGGGTATCAAATCTCCGGAAAAACCCTAATGCTTAATGGGGTTTTTGCGGGTTTTTGTGGGTTTTTGTGGGTTTTTGTGGGGTTTTTGTAGGGGTTTGAGGCAGATTGAAACAAAATCCCTTAAACTACAACGTAGATCAATGCTAATTAACTTTTCTGCTTCATCTTGAAATTTTGAGAATTTTCATTTGCGACTTGAATTTCCAAATATCATTGCATATTTCCAGGTTTACATGTCAAACATGAATTTTCGATGTAAAAGTCCAAATCAATGATAACGGTTAAAATTGCATGTTAAAATTGTATACTAAACAAGTCGCCGCGGCATTAACAAAATCTTTGCATTGTTAACAAAATTCCGAATTGCTAACAAAATTTTGTGCTGCTTTCAAAATTCCTAATGACCAAAAAGCTCATCCAACTACTACATGCATTGTATAATTAGACCTGCAATATTCTAAATTTCAATTTCGAAAGAAATTCATTGAATTTTCTGGAAAAATTTCTTTTGGAATTGGTAACATTTGTTTATCACTATGAGGTATAATTAAGCAATACATTAAGAACCTTTAATAAATACCCTAATTCCATCGTGGAAAACTAATATGGAAATTGCAATTATTTTGCAAAACTCAACATATTGGAAAATGGGGGTCCGTAATCGAGGCAGCGGCCAAATTCTGGTGCAAAATTATTTTCAAAATTATTTAGAGCCATACTAAAGCAAAGGTTTAGTCAAAACTTGAATATCTCAAAATTGGCAAAAAATTCGCACATTTTGGCCCAGATCTCGAAAACTGCTGGTGGACCCCCCCTTTTTTATTACGAATTCATTACCTACACAAAATTACGCAACTTTTAAGCTATCAAACTCGAAAATCGTTGGAAGATGAAAAAAACACTATTTCATTGTATATATCTATCTTAATTAGTTTATCTCTAATATATAATTTTAGGAATTCTGGTTCAACCTGCCCAAAAATCTACAAAAACCCACAAAAACCCAAAAACCCACAAAAACCCCAAAAACCCCGGAAAAACCCCCCGGGGTTGGGTTTTTCTACAAAAACCCCGGGGTTTTCCGAACCCTGGTTGGGCGTTTCTAATTTATACTCACACCTACATAAATAAGTATACCCTCGAAATATATAGGTACATATGGACCTATTTAGGTAGTCCACAATTTCTACTGATTAAATTGACACTACTGTAGGTGGGTTGTTGATATAATAAATATGTAAATAAGTTTAACCTGCCTATTCCGGTGGTGGCATAAAATATGTATAAATGATTCCTTCAATTTTCATGACAAATCAGAACTTCACATCGTTCTCTACTTTTGTCAATAATACGATGCAATTTTTTATTAAATAGTAATACAACTTGAAAATAACTTATTTTAGTAAACGTCGACATAGTTATGTGCATACGTAAGTATGAATATTTAATTGATAAGTAGGCAGCATTCCCAACTTACTATAAAATATAGGAAAAAAATAAAACTTCGATAGCTAAGGGTTTATAAATTTTCCATATTTTTCCATCTATGGGGCGTTATTGTCAGTAGAAAATTATTTATCAACTGTTTTCCATGGAAGCGGACGAAAGGTTGAAGGTGAAGTTTTAAATTTGCCAAATTTCAGATTGTGTCCGGATGTCATACAATTCGGTGGTGACACTGACTAAATAAATATTAAATAGATACTTGTTGTAAGAGTGAATATGTTACATATTCACTCTTATTCATATTTTAAACTAATTTCACGAACAACGGGATTTGTCGGTGCTAAACAAACAAAAATCCAATATAGAGAAGAATATCCATAAATTAGGCGTAAGATGGAACGTATGTAAATTACTATATGAAAATGTTAAAAGCTTACCTGACCTTAAAGCACATTCTCTATTCTGGCATACAAATAAATTTACAAGTACGACAGCGTGTTAAATTTCCTGCAAAATATTTACTTGCCATAAACTCATTTCACGTTTTAATTGTTAATTAGAAAGTGATGAAAACTGTTTGCTCTGCTGAATGTATTTAGAGAATGGAATTCTGTCCATCCTGTCCATCTATAAACATATGGAATCAAATTCCTAAGCTCATTTTTGTTTACCCTGGAAAATTGTGCTGGCCTCTTAATAATTGAAATAACTGTAAATCCAAGTCAGAATATGATTTCGCAAACCCGTACAAATAATTCCGTTTCCTGCTTGGATTTAGTTCCCATAGATTATCGGGAATTTCTAAAGTGTTTAATACAGAAGATGAATTTTCAAAACAATCTTGCGGAATAAAAGCATGCATGCTTGGTAAATTTCCGAAAAACTCCTATGGTGTTCCAGCAAAAGTTTCGCAAAACCTTGCAACCTTTACAAGTCATATTGCTATGCTTAATTTGCGAGATATACGAAGGTTAATATGAGTACGCTAATTAGTCATTAGTACTAAATTATTCGAGCAACTTGCGATATGGTAATAAATTAATTCGTTTAAATGATGCCATAATAAATCCTTAGGCATTGCAAGAAATGATTCACATCCTTACAGAATGAAGTTTTTATCAGTTCTCTCATTATCAATTGTATGACTCATTAGCACCCATAAATCCGAATGAAACATGTCACACGCTTCAGGTACATCACGACGCAGATTTATGTAAATAAGCTATCAATGACTAATTTGCAACCCACTCAACAGGTACATACATTCATACCTGCATAGGAACATTATATTGTGTTGACAAATTATTGAAAAGTTCACTGTCGGCAAATGTATATCTGTTTGCTTTACAAGCCATGTGCCACGAAATGCAGATAATTGAGACAATGCGAGTCAGGATCAGAAAAGCATGACCTGTTGTGTCACACACTTTATAATGGACTTAATAAATTTATTTCCACGGAGGGTTGCAACATATCAAGGGCGACTCAGACTCAAACAAACTTCCCACGTTTTGGGTATTTCCCTAATTGGGGAATTAAATGGGGCAACTATGTAGAATGCCCAAATTAATTCTACATGGGCACATTTGTGGATGCGTATGTATGTACAACTCGATTACGAAATAGGACCCGTGAAATGTTGCAATTTTTCAAGAACTACAAATCTATCTGTATTTCAATTATATGTACGCATCGAAAATCTCAATTTCGACTGGATATACATACATAAGTTCATTAAACTTTGTGTGTAAAAATGGATATCCATTTTCCAAATTTATTCGTCCCTCAATTTTTTAGCGTGTAACTATTGAACCTGAGTTTTGCGATGCAAATAGTGTACATCCAATATCAAATAATTATACACTTAATCAATCCAAAGTTAATTAAGATAACAAAATCCATGACGTTTACACTTAACCTGTCCATAAAAAGGCGTTCAATTCCCTCGTTCATTCGTCACTATTATCTCCGCATTTAATAACTTCACACGTTTACCAATTAAATAAATAAAATGTCCAATTTTACTCTATTTTGCTCTATTTTTTCCGTGTTCCTCATTCTCGCCAAGTTTGATCAGACCTTAGCCACGTCATTGCTTCGTGGTCGCCAAGACAACCAAGATCCGCTCCGTTATGTAAGAACAACCTCAAACTGGGAGCAATTAGATCATGAGGGAAGAGTTCTGCTGGGTTGGACCGTGAACACGGACGAGGGAACGATTACCTTCGAAGTAGAAGCGGAAACTCATGGTTACGTGGGAATTGGCATTTCGCCGACCGGAAGTATGACCGGGGCGGATATTTTCATCGCGGGGGTGCATGATAATGGAAGTTCGTACTCTTCCGTAAGTCAATAAAAATATGCTGCCAAAAATTTATATGGACAATTAATCTTTGGGGCAATTCACGCAGTCATTTGTAACTCATAAAATCTGTAAGTTTTGAAAAATGATTTTACAAAGTTTATCAAAATAAAAAGACCTCCTGGATCTGAGTACATACATATATTTACAAAAACTTTGAAGCTAAATTTTCCTTAGAAATATTTGTAAAGTTTGGAAAACTCCGCAAGTTTAGACAATTTACAGACTTTACAATGTTAGAAAGGAACACGTGAATTGGTTCTTTGCGTAATGAAATCGCATCATAATTTGTTCGAAATAAATTGATTCATGTAATTTAACCAACCATTAACCATTTTTATAGCTATTTTCAAAATAAATATGAATATTTTTCGAAATTTCAGGACAATTATGCCACCGGATTTTCGAAACCAATCCAAGACACGCACTCCGACTGGGTGCTCCATGAGGCAAGAGAGTTCAAAGGGCTTCTCTACAATCGTACGTACCTCAAATTTTCTCGACTTCTGAACACCTGTGATGATCAAGATTATCCAATCGGGGTAATAAAATAGCGTAAATTTTATAAATTCTAAATATGTATGTATGTACGTGGATTCATGTTTCATGTAAATACTTATGTTATTAACCCTCAAAAATAATTTATTTAGATGGACACAACCAGATTAATTTGGGCCCTGGGTACCTCGGATGAGATCGAATATCACACTTCTAGCAGTAGGGGAACCAAATCCGTAAATTTATTGGGAGCTCCCATGCCGGAAGTGGACTTAACAAAGTATGTACTGATACACATATTTGCATATTATTTGGGAAAAAAACTTCAAAATTAATTGTACAAATTTTTACACTGATGTATGCAGAACGACCGAGTGGAAGATGACGTTGGATATGGAGATGCCACAAAACGATACCTCTTACTGGTGCAGTTTCCATAAGGGACCCCAACTCGCGGGGAAGCATCACATCGTGGCGGTAAATTTAAATTTAAATTTTAAGCCAAAAGTGAAATTTAATTTACCTATGTAAATATTACTTCTTTAGTTTGACGCCTTTGTCCCTACCCTCTCCGCACTTGCGCATACGCATCATTTTGTTCTCTACAACTGCTACAATCCCCTAAATTCCACCCCTGTTGGCGATTACTTGAGAAATTACACAGTTGACACTGGCTTCAAAGGGGATCACTGCTACGTACCGTATGATCAAGATGCGCCTGCCGATAATCAGATGGCGTTTTTAACCTTCTTTTGCCAGGAATATTTATACGTTTGGGCTAAAGGAGGAAAGGTGAGACATTTAAATACACACCTATCATTCGTTCAAAAATAAGTAGAGACAAAGAAATCTGAGAGGTTATCTGGCAGATTAATAGACTCTCAGATGTTAACCTTTTGAAAAAATTAAGGCTTAATTTTGTCGCTATATTTTTTGAACGAACAGTAGAAATATGAAAGACAAATTTTGATGGGCTAAACTCAGTAAAAAATTGACGGGGATTTTATAAAAAAAATGTCTAATTACGTTTTTATGCACATCTAGAAAATGACCTTCCCCCCGAATACGGGGTATCCAATCGGCGAAGAGGAAGAAACTGATCGCGAATATTTCTACATGTTAGAGGTTCACTACGACAATCCCGACGAAATTGCTGGTTTAAGATTTGAAACTGGAGTCTCTTTCTACTATACGAATGAAATACGGTATGTAAAAACCGAAGTCAATTAGCAGTTTCATTAAGTCATAGGCATCCAAATAAAATTCAATCTTGTCTAAAACATGTTTTGGAAAATCAAAACAATCGAAAAAATCGCTTTCACTAAAAGTTGTAACACCTTGTCAAAATCGGATAAGATCAAAATTTATTTAGCTAAAATCGGATAAATCTAAAACCGATTTTCCAAAGTCTTCCAATTTCGGATAATCCATTAATTTTTTCTCAGACGAATCTATTATTTTACAGTGAACATGACGCCGGCCTTCTTATGGTAGGTCATCAGGTCAACCAAGCTCTCACCGTGCCCCCGAACACGACCAGTTTTGTCACCGTGGGCCACTGTGCGTCTTCCTGTACGCAAGAAAAACTTCCGCAAGATGGCATCAAAGTCTTCAACTCGCTACTGCACTCCCATCTGTCGGGCAGGAAGTTGAAGCTTCGTCATTTCAGGGGGACCGAGGAACTCCCCTGGCTCGACTACGATGACCACTACGATTTCGACTTTCAGCAAAATAAACACTTAAACAGCGAGATCGTCGTGTTTCCAGGGGATCACATGACTTATGGTGAGAACCAAATTACCTACATTTAGTCGTTGAGCAACTAAAGGAGACGAGTGACTTAAATTTGCGTAACTTGATAGATTTTTAAACATGGAATAGATGCATCATTTCTATATACAAAAATCTGCGAGGATCATTCGTCTCCGTTTTGGTTCCTAAACAAGTTTTGCTTGACACCTTTTGATTTCCGATGTACAGTAGAAAGATTAAATTTTGCAATGGGTCGATTTATGCGAATTAGTCTACATATTTAGTGCTAATTCGTAAATTTTATTTTGCACAGAATGTACCTACGACTCCTCCTGGCGAAAGGGTCAGGTCGTCATTGGGGATTTGTCGACCAGGGACGAAATGTGCGAGGCCTTCATGTGGTACTATCCCAAGATTAACGTGGACATTTGCTCGTCAAGCTATAACGTCGAACAAAGCTTGGCGGACTTGGGAATCACGAATTACACGTAGTAAGTAAATTTTTCATAAAGTTTTCACGTGCACGATTGTAACGTAATCAATCAAACATCTTAAACTTGCCAAAGTAGATTTCCGCCAAGTCAATAAGTGACCTCAAATACATACTATTTTTTGCAATATTTTGCGAAAAATAACACACGTTTACTCTAACTAACCAAGATTTTGAATGTACAGAATCAATTTACTCAAATCATATTGTAAAGTTACACAGTTTTTAAAACGGAGAAATAATTTTGCAAAATTTGTTCAAGTTAATTTCTTCCTGCCGAACTTATCGTAAAAATTTTCTTGGCCAATCTAACTATAAATATTCCTAAATTTAGTGTCGATAAGGTCGGGCAACCTGACATTTACATTATCGAGCCCGCCAATTTGCGAGGGGATTATGAAGACTCTCTCGCTAACAAGTTTGTCTGGACGGAAGAGTTCAAGCGGGAAATGGAAAATAAGCGAAGAAACAGTTTACATGATGGACAATGCTTCGGATTAAAGGATATGGAAGCACCAGCCGAGTTCAGGGTGGGTTACCCCGAGATAAGCAAGATTTACGAACCGGAAGATATTTGCCAATCGTATGTTCCACCCACCACACCATCTGGAACAGGAAGAAATACAATTTTCTATCCCACCATTATTCTGCTTTTAATATGTGGCTTATCCTAAAATGCGCAAGTCGTTTGTAAGCTAACTACTTATATAAATGCACAAAGAAAACGTCCTCAGAAATATATCGTTAATAGATGGAATAAAAGCTTGATTTTGTCACAAAATACACATTTTATTTATTTATCCGAATTTTGTTTTTATCCATGTTTATGTAATCAATATAAATTTCGTTCTTACTTTAGAGGTAATATTCCCTTCTTTCCACATTCCCTCACCGAGCAAATTCCTTTCATTTCACGTACATATATACGTGACTTGGCTCTCTGTATGAGAGTCAGGATCGGAGGTCAGGATCGGAGTCAGGATCGGAGGTTTGAGAAAGCTATGAAAATTTTGTAAGATATTTAATATGTTTAAGATACTTCAATAGAAGAAAAACGTGTTAACGACTTAATTATTAAGTAGCGTCAGCTACTTATTGTGATCGTTTTGTCCGTCCGTCTGTCCGTCTGTCCGTCCGTCCGTCTGTAAGCAGGATATCTCCAGAACGAGTCAACATAATCAAACCCTGTTTTCGCCATTGTGCTTCTAATTTTTAGTTCTCGGTCGAGTTCGAAAATGGGGTCAGTCTGACCACACCCCACAGCGCCAGGGGGTGTGGTCCAAAATTAAATTCACTTTAATTATCATATGGGGTATCATTTGAAAGGAAATTTCGCCGCGAATTCGAAGACGTTAATATTTTTGACCTTATGACCTTGGCGACGAGGTCAGAGGTCAAAAAATGCATAATTGTCATATGGGGTGTCATTTTTAAGGAAATTTGACCGTGGTTTTGGAGACGCTGATATTTTTGACCTCATGACCTTGCGGACGAGGTCAAGGGTCAACATAATATATAATTGTCATACGGGGTGTCATTTTAAAGGAAATTTTACAACGATTTTGGGGACGTTAATATTTTTGACCTCATGACCTTGAGGACGGGGTCAAGGGTCACAAATAAATAATTGTCGGATACGGTGACACTTTAAAGGAAATTTCGATCGGTCTGACGCTACTTTTTTACATTCGTTTGTAAGGGTTTATTTTAATCGTCAATCGAATCATTTGCATTACTACCGAATCTAATAAATACAACTACATATTTGTGAAATGTATGTATACATACATTTCCAGGTATCACTATGAACTATTCACACTGAACTGAGTTCTTATAACCTCTGTATTTAAAGCAAAGATAATGGATATTTGATTTAAAGCATTGGTTATTTTGGTCCGTTTAATCACCATTTTTCCTTCAGTTTTACACCTGGTAGCTGTAATTTAAAAAGGCAACCTTTGTCATACCATGCAACCCACCACTCGTGTCATTTAACATTAACATTATTCCTCATGAGCACTGGGACTACTGAAGTGACCAAAATAAAACTAGATAATTTATCACGCATTTTAACACCCAAACTTACTCATTTAACACTGTGTTAACCAAGTCGGATATATATTTGCACATTAAACAGTCGCCGTTTGGACAATTAAAAACATAAACACATACTCACAGTGGCCAGATGGTTTGGACCTAGGAATGAATTGGGAATTCCCTGAGTTGTCAGAAATGTTCGAATTCGAATTTGATACGAATTATGCTCAGCGTCCCGTCGCGCATGACCTCGACGCGAATGTGAATCCTGAGGTGAGGAATTATCTAAATTTAGAAGATGGACGCTAATTTTATTTTTTACCTATCTTAAAAACTCTGGTTTAGAATCACAGCAATATTTCGGAAACCCCTATTTCTACCTTACCCGCCAACATGAAAGCAATCCACGCCACCAGTTGCGACAATAGTGACCAGGTTTGCTCCTCCACTACAAATTTACCCAACGATGTTGAAACCATCCACAGCACGGGGGAACCACCCCGTTTCCCATGCACGATTCCCGGTTGTGAGAAAACCTACAAAAACAAGAGACATATTTCGCTGCACGTGAAAACTGACCATGTCGAGAATCCGGTCCGATTTCGGTGCACCCTTTGCGAGAAAGAATTCAAAACGATGTCAAATCTTGGGAATCACAGATCCACCCATGCGAACGTGAAACCGTTTAAGTGTGCCACTTGTGGGGGGAATTTCGCCCAAAAATCTGTCTTGATCCGTCATGAGGTAAATATTTATCAGGGAATAAATATCCCAAAAGGTTCTGGTTTCATTTTTTAATTGAGAGACTTTTACAAGCATAGCAAAGTAGGAATCTCTCTGGGACGGAGAAATTCAGACGATGGCCTCTTTTAGTATGCACTTAGTTCACAAAGCGGGAAATTTTCCGTCCCGCACAGATTTTTACTTTACAATAGCTGCATACTCCTTTACAGACGACACACTTGGATAAATCTAGCCGGGAGATCTTCAAGTGTCACCTTTGTCCTGTAACTTCCTTCCGGAACTGTAACTTACAACGCCACATCGAAGTTGTGCACGAAAATCGGAGAGCTTATTCGTGCTCATATTGCGAAAAAAAGTTGGCGAGTGTTCGCGGTTTAAAGCGTCACGTGGAGGCGAGACACTCGGAAAACAAAGAGGTTCATTCCTGCGATAAATGCGAGTACAAAGCCCACTTGAAGCATGATTTAGCACAACACGTGAGAAATCACCATATTGCGAATACTTTCGATTGTGACTTGGAAGTTTCGCGAATTTGATTTGTTAGTCCATCACTACTGGCGAAATCATGGAAAAGGAACATTTAAGTTGACATCTTTTGATTTATAATTAGGATATTTTCAAGCGAAGTTTGTTTGCCACGTATGAATTTTTGTTAGTTTAAAGGTTAGAGCTACCGCCCTACAGTTCACTTGCTGCAGGCTAAACAATGTAGCCCAGAACATTGGCTGCATATTATCAGATACATTTTATTTATGTTCAAGTTTTTTTTATTTGATGACGACCTACGGTCGAACGTTGTAGGTATGTTCCAGAACTCTGATAGATCACAGAAATCTCTAAACATTCTTATCTATTGTTATATATTTCTAGATTTTCAAATAGGCAATGTTTTACATAGATATCGTTTTTTAACTAAATACATAATATACATAATATACAATTAATTCAACTAGGATAATAAATATGTTTAGTTTTAATTTTATCTGGAAAGTATTTGCATACATATGCAAATAGTTCTCCAATTTTTTTTAGCCTTTGACTTCACCTTTTTCTAAGCTGCTGTGCCAATAAAAACAATAATTTGTTTTTCGACGGACATTGGCGAATCATCTTATGCATACATTTATGAAAATACATACATGTAGCCACTATGTACACATTTATTTGAACATTCACATAAAAATCGTTATATCTCAATGGACATGAATTGACACCATGCATATCTCCACAACCAATATATGCTTAACAGTGCATGGTACGGAGGCCGGCGAAAACCATAATTACCCCAGTCGTTGCCAGTGACAAAGACTTTTAACTTTCGATGACTGCAGCGTCCGCAGATGGCGCGCAGCTGCACAACAGCAAATTCGATTGAGATGCAACACGAGTCGAGTCAAAACGCGAGCTTTTCTCTGCCTCTCCTAACACATGCTATATAACTCTGCCGTGATTTTTACAAAAAAATACAATCCTCGACCAATTTTGAAGATATTTTGATGTTCAACATCTTAAATTGTTCACAAGAGGATGCACTACAATTTTGTTAGACGGTTTGTTAGATTTTTGTTTCTAATAATTTCTACACCAATGCAAAGTTTAAACTTGTAGTGGAACTTGATGGAAACAAGATTCCAACAAATCGTCTAAGGCAATTGTAGTGCATCCTCTCGTGAACAATTTGAGATATTGAACATCAAAATATCTTCAAAATTGGTCGAGAATTGTATTTTTTTGTAAAAATCACAGTAGAATTATTTAACATGTGTTAGGATAGGAAGAGAGGAGCTCGAGTTATTGATTCTACTCGCCATAAGAGGTCGCTGGTGGTGGGGGTTATTTGCGGTTAAACATATTTTTGTACAATGTATTCATGCCTGCACATACGAAATACACATGTGTTTATCCATCCATCCATAAAAGGTATTCCATAGGACATATTCATGTGGAAATGTTCATCTAATAAACAAAGTTTTGCGTAATTCTTTACTAGCTTTACCAGTTTGATGTTCTACCGCGATGGAATTACAATGTTGCGATAGATTATTTAAAAAAGTAATCATACGATTGTAATCAAAACAGTTCAAGAAATGCAGCGAATCTAATAAATAAGTACGACTGCAGTTCGTGACGCACATTTCCAGGTATCATCATGCATAAACTTTTCCACATTTCTCTGCTCTGACTCTTTGCAACCTTTCTAAGTATTTAGAGCAAAGATAGCGTATATTTAAGCATTGACTATTTCGGTATAAAGGATTTTAATAACCACTTTTCTTTCAGTTGTACCCATTGTGGCTGTAATTTAAAAAAATCAACCTTTTTTCATACCACTCACGCAACCCGCCACTCATTCAATTTAACACACATTCTTCCTCTGTCCACTGCCACGACTCAAGTGACCAAAATACAACCAGTAACGCATTTTAACACACTTACTTATTTATTCAAAACTTTGTTAACAAACTCGGAATTATATTTTCAGACTAAACTCTCGCCGTTAAGGTTTTGACAAGAAAATACGTACTTACACACAGAATCCAGATGGACTTTAGTTGGGTTCATCCTGGGAGGAATCTAGAAGATCCAAAGTGCCCAGAAACGGTCGAATCTGATACGAATTGTGGTCATCGTCACGTCACGCACGACCCCGACACGAAGATGGAATGTGAGGTGAGCAATTAAATTTAGAAGATTGACGCTAATTTTATATTTACTTATCTTATAAACCTCTCGTTTAGATTTGCAGCAAAAGCCCGTCTACCTTATCCGATCACGTGAAGACATTCCACACCAACGGGGAAGAACAAAGTTGCGACCAGGCGTCTTTCTCAACTACAAATTTACCGAACGATCTTAAGGCCGTCCACAGCACGGTGGAACAATCTACTTTTCCCGACGGTAAAAAATCCTACCTGAGCAAGGAGGAGATTTATTCCTGCGACAAATGCGAGTACAAAAGCCACGCGAAGTGTATTTTAGCGCTACACGTGAGACTTAAACATATTGCGAATCCTTCTGCGGCAGGAGGCTTGGCGAATTTTACCGTTTAATTCGTCACTACGGGAAAATGCATAGCATGGAAGAGTAACACTTAAATAAGTAAGTTTTCGCTGGTCACATGTTGGTATCTTTTAATGTATATTGAAGAAATTTTTAAGCGTTTGTTTACCTTGAAAGATGCATTTTTTATGTTAGTGTAAATCTTTTGACTTTTATAATTCCTTGGACAGAACAATGTTACTGGCTGAAGAAAAAACAATTTATTTAGCTCACGACATATTTTCAGACATATATTTGTAAATTTTCAACTTTTTCGTTCGATGACGACCTACTATTTGCGTATGTTTTCTAACTCTTATAGGTCACACTTGTTCAATACAGTTTTATCTATTGTAGCATATTTCTAGGTTTTCATATATTTAAATAGTTATTAATTTTTACGTTACATATTGCTCGAAAAGTGAATAAATCTTTTAGATATTTTTTCAGAGGTACATGTATTTATTTAGTAAATATTTTGACGTTTTTGTCGTAAATATTAGATACATATTTCAGCGATTTTTCATAAATATGTGGATATCTGCCCTCTGTAATTAGGAATAAAATAGGCAAGCCGTCTTAAAGTCCACCAATCACATAAACCCATTTACTGAAATAGTCTTCAATTGTAAATTTGAATTCGAATTAATACGTACTACAATTACCTGTACAAAAATTTTTGGAAAATCTAAGATTACACCTTGTGCGTCACCCTGATGTCAGTAAGCAACACGAATAAGTTCAAATTGTGGGAATCAGCTTTCAGTTTAATTTTCTACAGCGGTGGAGTTACAATGTTACGATGGATACACGGTTAAAAATCTGGTAGTCACATACTTCGTACTGGAATTGATTTGGTAACAGCTTCCTGCCGGACTGGTAGTACATATGTAGTTTGTTCTTGAATGGCAAATTTTTCATTACCACACCATTACGAAACAGGAATGCATGTTATTACCGTGCCGATAGTGTCGCATTTGTACTTTGGTCAGTAGCGATCTAAAACAAGTTTGCTATGGGTGTACCATTAGAAAGCCATTTTACAACAAATGCAGTGAATCTAATATATAAATATGTAGATACATCTGCAGTTCGTGACACACATTTCCAGGTACACTCACCGGAACAATTATTTGGCAGAAGAAACGACGTGAGTTAAAACGCACATTCCTCGAAAAGTTCAAGAGATTTTTGGGAAAGTTTTTTTGCAATTAGTAGATCAACTTACTGGTAATGTCATACCATAAATTCATTTTCGAAAAAAAATCCTGAGTGGGGTTAACCAAGATTTTCCCACGAGCAGTTAAAATCAATCCCGGAACAATTATTTGGCATTTTCGTGTATTGAACGAAAAAATAGTTATTTCGAGTTGGTAAGCAATTTTTAAATTTTAAATAGCTAGAATATGTTTTTTGCTTCATTTCTACGCAATTCCGACATTTAACAGATAGCTCCAACGAAGCCGAAGAGAGAGTCATTGGACCACATTACCATTAAATCCTTTGTATGGGATGATACCAGCAGACCAAAATTTCAAAACTGCACAAAATACATCCAACAATAGTGTAGTATACAATTGCATAATCTTAATCCACCAGGTTGATTTAAATAAGCTCGGAAGAGACCAAGAGCCATTATTTCCCTCGACGGAGGCGTGTGCCATTGTCAAGAACATCATGCTCAACCCGAAAGTTTCAATTTCGCATATCGAAACTCAACATGGAAATCAAACTGACACCTCAGCTGATCAGAAAAACCTGATGAGACTGACCGATAAAAATTTTCCGAACTAGGAAGAAGCCCCCCATGTCAAACGGTAAAATCATCATATGGCGTGCGTTTGCTATGGGGCCCATCAACAGAGACCAAAATTTTTGGGACCCGGTTTTATCGTCTAATGAGAGTAAATACAACTATTTAGTAACGCCGGTCCATAAAACCGGGTCCCAGAAATTTTGGACACTGTTGACGGGCCCCATAGCCAATGCTATTTAAAATTTAAAAATTGCTTACCAACTCGAAATAACTATTTTTTCGTTCGATACACGAAAATGCCAAATAATTGTTCCGGGATTGATTTTAACTGCTGGTGGGAAAATCTTGGTTTACCCCACTGAAATTTTTTTTTTCGAAATTGGTATTTTGGTATGTCATTTCTTTATCTACTAATCACAAAAATAATCACCCAAAAATCTCTTGAACTTTTCTCGGAATATGCATTTCAGTACAGGTCGTTCTTTCTGCCAAGTAATTGTTCCGGTGAGTGTATGTATCATGCATAATAAACTTTTCCATACTGCACTGACTCCTTGTAACCTCGATTTAAAGCAAAGATCGCGTACATTTGATGCAAAGCATAGGTTATTTTTGTCCAAAAGGTTTACTACATAATCATTTTTTCTCCAGTTGCACACTTCCAGCCATAGATCGGATATTTTGCGTACTCCGGCCTCCGGCCGGCCATGCGTACTCCGGCCTCCAGAAAAAGTCGCGTACTCCGGCCTCCGGAGGCCGGAGTACGTACTCCAAGCCCGGAATTCTCCTATCTATGCGATCGGAAATTTTGCGTACTCCGGCCTCCGGCCGGCCATGCGTACTCCGGCCTCCGGCTGGCCACGTGTACTCCGGCCTCCGCGTACTCCGGCCTCCAGAAAAAACTGCGTACTCGGCCTCCGGAGGCCGGAGTACGTACTCCAAGCCCGGAGTACTCCGATCTATGCTTTCAGCCAGTGGTTGTTATTTTAAGAAGTCAACCTTTGGACACAACGCAACCTACCACTCATTTAAGTTTTACACACATTCTTCCTCTGGGCACTGCAACGACTCAAGTGACCAAAATAAAACTACTAATGTGATACCCATTTTACCACACTTACCTATTTATTCAACACTTTGTTGACAAACTCGGAAATAAATTTACAGATTAAACTCTAGCCGTTTGTACTGAAAGTTTTGGACGAGGAAATATCTACATACTCACACCAAGAATCCAGATGGACTTTAATTTGTATCCTGGGATGAATCGAGAACATCCAAAGGGCCCAGAAACGTTCGAGGATGATACGAATTGTGACCAGCGTCCCGTCATCACGCATGACCCCTACACGAAGGTGCCATGTGAGGTAAGGAATTAAATTTAGAAGATGGACGCTAATTTTACTTCACTTATCTTCACTTATCTTACATACAAACCTCTCGTTTAGATTTGCAACAAAAGCCCTCATGCGATCACACGATGACATTCTATACCAACGGGGAGCAACCACGTTGCGACATTTGCCACCAGGCGTCTTTTTTAACTACAAATTTACCGAACGATATCAAAGCCGTCCACAGCACGGGGGAACGACCCCGTTTCCCATGTACGTTCTCCGGCTGCAAAAAATCCTACCTGAGCAAATACCAAGTTACGGAACACCATAAAATTGAGCATTCGAAGAATCCGGTCCGATTCCCGTGCTCCGTTTGCGGGAAACAGTTCAAAAGGATGTCAGATCTTAGAAAACACAATTTCACCCATACGAACGCGAAGCCTCATAAGCATACCCCGGACAAATATTTTTTTATCCTACCCTACTCGTGTTGAGCTCAACATGAGTAGGGTAGGATAAAAAAATATTTTTCCGCGGTATGCTCATAAGTGTGCCACTTGTGGGAGAAGTTTCGCGCAGGTGGGAAGCATGAAACGCCACGAGGTAAATAAATATTTTATCCGGGAATAAATTGTCAAAAATTGATAAAATGGTAAAAATCGGTAAAATGATCAGATGTGAAAAATTAATATAACGGTAAAAATCGGCAAAAAGTGGTAAATAATGAGAAGTACAAAATTTTGACACCCCTGATGCGAGCTACTAAAAAAACAAATATGTACAACAAAATTTGGCAAATCTAAGATTACACCTCGTGCGTCACCCTTTCGCTAATAAGTTGAATTGTGGGAATGGGCTTTAACAGTTTGACTTTCTATCGTGATGGAACAATGTTACGATGGATTAGAAAAGCTTTCCAATCACACACATTTCCAGGTATCACTGTAAACTTTTCCACACTGCAGTGACTGCTTGGAACCTTTCTATTCAAAGTAAAGATAGTGTACGTATATTTTATCTAATGCATTGGTTATTTTGGTTCAAAGCATTTTACTAACCATCTTTCCTTCAGTTGTACATATGTATGGTTGATGTCATTTAAAAAAGACAACCTTTTCATACCATGCAACACACTTCTCATTTTATCAGCATTTAACATGCATTCTTCCTCTGAGAACTGAGACTGAAGTGACCAAAATAAAACCACTAATGTGAAACCCATTTTAAAACACTGACCTATTTATTCAACACTTTGTTAACAAGCTCGGAAATAAATTTACAGATTAAACACTTTGTGTAGTCAAAGGTTTGGACAAGCAAATCCATACTCACACCCAGAATCCAGATGGACTATAATTGGACTCATCCTGGGACGAATCGAGAAGATCCAAAGGGCCCATTAACGTTCGAGGCTGATACGAATTGTGACCAGCGTCCCGTGATCACGCATGACCCCTACACGAAGATGCCATGTGAGGTAAGGAATTAAATTTATAAGATGGACGCTAATTTTATCTTCACTTATCTTATAAATCTCTCGTTTAGATTTGCAACAAAAGCCCGTCTACCTTATCCGATCACGTGAAGACCTTCCACACCAACGAGGAGCAACAAAGTTGCGACCAGGCGTCTTTCTCAACTACAAATTTACAGAACGATACTAAAGCCGTCCACAGCACGGGAGAACGATTCCGTTTTCCATGTACGTTCCTCGGTTGCAATAAATCCTACCTGAGCAAATACCAAGTTACGAGACACAAAAAAATTCAGCATTCAGTAAATCCTGCCCGATATCCGTGCACCGTTTGCGGGAAGAAGTTCAAAAGGATGTCACATCTTAGAACACACAATCTAACCCACACGAAAGAGAAGCCTCATAAGTGTACCACTTGTGGGAGGAGTTTCGCGCAGGTGGGAAGCATGAAACGCCACGAGGTAAATAATTATTTTATACGGGAATAAATGACTCAAGTTTTGGTTTGATTTTTAAATAAGACACTTTTTATTACACGTAAGGCTTATAGTGGGCAGTCTCTTAACTATTTAAAAATCAAATCATGCCGCCGCATTTTATTTCCAGTGGACACACTTGGAAAAATCGAGCCGAGAGATCTTCAAGTGCAACCTTTGTCCTGAAACTACCTCCCGGAAACATAGCTTACATAGCTTAAAATACCACATCCGAGTTGCGCATGGAAAGGGGAAGAATTATCCGTGCTCATATTGCGAAAAAAAGTGGGCGAGCGTTCAAGGTTTGAAGCGTCACGTGGAAGCGAGACACTCCGATTACAAAAGGTATCACCACTGCGACAAATGCGAGTATAAAAGCCACGTGAAGTTTTATTTAGAGCGACATGTGAGAATTAAACATATTGCGAATCCTTCTGCGGCAGGAAGTTTGGCGAATTTAACCGTTTAGTCCGCCACTATAGGAAAATGCATACCATGGAACGGTAACATTTAAGTTTTAGTTGGTCACATGTTGATATCTTTTAATTTATGATTAAGATATTTTCAAGCGAATTTTTTCCCCCTGAAAGATGTATTTTATATTAGTTCAAAAATTCTGATTTTTAGAATTCCTTGGCCAGAACAATGTTACCCTCTGAATAAAAAACAATTTATTTAGCTCACGACATATCAGATATATATTTGTTAATTTTCAATTTTTTCATTTGATGACGACCTACTATCAAAATATGTATGTGCGTATGTTTTCTAACTCTTATATGTCACAGATATTTCAATACAGTTTTACCTATGATTACATGTTTCTAAGTTTTCATATATTTAAACAGTTATTAATTTTTACGCTACATATTGCTCGAAAAGTGAATAAATGTTTTAGATATGTTTTCAGAGGTTCATGTATTTAGTAATTATTTTGACGTTTTTGTCGTAAATATTAGATGCATATTTTAGCGATTTTTTGTGGATATCTGCCCACTGTAACCAGGAATAAAATTGGAAAGCCGGCTTAAAGTCCACCATTCACATAAACCCATTTACTGTCCCTGATGTCAATAAGCAATCACAAATAAGTTTGTGGGAATGAGCTTTCACAGTTTAATTTTCTACATTGATGGAGTTACAGTGTTACGATGGATACAATGTTAAAAATCTGGTAGAGTCATTGATTGAGTAGAGTATTGATGGTAGAGTATTGATTTGGTAATAGCTTCTGGCCGGACTGGTAGTACATATTTAGTTAGTTCTTGAGTGGTAAATTTTTCATTACCAAAACATTACGAAACAGGAATGTACATATGTTACTACCGTGCCGGTAGTGTCACATACGTACTCTAGTGATCTGTTTAATACAAGTTTGCTATGGGTGTACCATTAGAGAGCCATTTTACAAAAAAAATGCAGCGAATCTAATATGTAAATACATCTGCAATTCGTGACACGCATTTCCAGGTATGTATCATTTATAATAAACTTTTCCACACTGGACTGACTCCTTGTAACCTTTCTATTTAAAGCAAAGATAAATAGTCTACATATATTTGATTTAAAGTGTTGATTATTTTGGTCCAAAGGAGTTTAATAACCATTTTTCCCTCAGTTTTACATCTGGCCACTGTAATTAAAAAAAGGCAACCTTTTCATACCACGCAACCCACCACTCATTTTATTAAGGGGTGAAAGCCCTTTATAAGATCGTTATGTCCGTCTGTCTGTCCGTCCGTCCGTCCGTCCGTCCGTCTGTCTGTCCGTAGCTCCGATAACTTTTGAACGAAAAGACATAGACACTTGAAATTTTGAACGTAAACTCCTAACGTCAATAGAGAGGACGAGTTCGAAGATGGGCACTGTAGGTCACACCCATCAAGGTCAAAAGGTCATGAAATGTCATTTAAAGGTCAAATTGCATACATGCATCAATTTGAATTGAAATACGGATAACACACTTCTTTCACCCCTTGGTTACATTCGTTGTGACGGTTTATTTAACACACATTCTTCCTCTGAGAACTGCCACGACTGAAGTGCCCAAAATAAAACAATTTAACACACTTATTTCACAAATTGTTACTCGGAAACATATATTTGCAGATTAAACTTGCTGTTTGTACTCAAAGTTGTGGACAAGTAAATATCTGCATACTCACTTTCAGAATCAAGATGGATTTTAAGCCCGAGGTGACTGGAGAATATCCCAAGAGTTTAAAATCGTTAACAACAAACGCGAACCTTCCCACAGATCTCGCCACGCAGGATCCCGACGCGAAGGTGAAATGCCAGGTGAGGAATTAAATTTAGAAAATGGACGCTTATTTCATTCTTACTTATCTTAGAAACCTCTTGTTTAGATTTGCAGTAAAACACCGTCTACCTCATGCGATCACGTGAAGACATTCCAAACCAACGGGGAACAACAAAGTTGCGACCAGGCGTCTTTCTCAACTACAAATATACCAAACGATATTAAAGCCGTCCACAGCACGGAGCAAGGACCCCGTTTCACATGTACGATTTCCGGCTGCGAAAAATCCTACCTGAGCAAATACAAAGTCACAAGACACCAAAAAATTGAGCATTCGGAGAATCCAGTCCGATTTACGTGCACCGTTTGCAGGAAAGAGTTCAAAACGATGTCACATCTTGGGCGACACAGTTACACCCATACAAACGAGAAGCCATTTAAGTGTGCCACTTGTGGGAGAAGTTTCACGGGCAGGAGAACCATGCAACGTCACAAGGTAAATAAATGTTTTCTCTAGGAATAAATGACCCAAGAAGTTGTGGTTTGATTTTTTAATAAGAGATTTATAACACAAAAAGCTTACATATTATATAGCGGGTTGTTTGTTTTTTTAAAAAATCAAAGCAAGCCGATGCATTTTATTTACAGACGACACACTTGGAAAAAGCGAGCCGGAAGAGTTTCAAGTGCAACCTTTGTCGTAAAACTTTCAACTGGAAACAAAACTTAAAATACCACATCCGAGTTAAGCATGAAAATGAGAAGAATTATCTGTGCCCACATTGCGGAAAAAAGTCGGCGAGCGTTCAAGAATTGGAGCGTCACGTGGAAGCGAGACACTCAGATTTTGAAAAAATTTACTACTGCGACAAATGCGAGTACAAAAGCCACACGAAGTATAATTTAGAGCAACACGTGAGAACTAATAAACATATTGCGATTCCTTCTGCGACAGGAAGTTTTGCGAATTTAACCAATTAACCCGTCACTACGGGAAAATGCATACCATGGAACAGAAACATTTAAGTTGTCATTGGTCACATGTTGGTATCTTTTAATTTATGATTAAGATATTTTCAAGTAAAACGTGTTTTCCTCGAAGGATGTACTTTTTTTATATTAGTTCAAAACTTCTGATTTTGATAATCCTTTGAACAGCATAATGTTTCTCGCTGAAGGAAAAACAATTTATTTAGCTCACGATATATTATCAGTTGATGTACTATTTGTTAATTTTCAACTTTTTCATTTGATGACGACCTACTATCAAACTATGCGCGTACATATATTATCTAACTCTTATACATAGGTCACAAATATTTCAGTACAGTTTTACTTATTGTTTCTAAGTTTCCATACAGTTAAATAGTTTTTAATGTTTACGCTACAAATTTGTGGAAAGGTCAATAAATCTTTTATATATTTTTTTAGAGGTACACGTATTTAGTAGATCTTTTAACGTTTTTTTGTAAATATTAGATACATATTTTAGCGATTTTTGGTGCATACATTCATTCACGGTTACTTCCTAAGTACTTACAGCGTACCAAAATTTGGTACCGTACAGATAAACCTCCTAAGAGGATAAAAAAGGGTGACTTCATAATTTCAAATCCACAGATATGGCATATTTTTTATGGAAATTCAAAAATCTAAAATCCAATTGCCAAAACTTACCCCATTTGACATGGACACCGTCCACTGCACTTCGTGACGTACATATCCAGTTATCACTATAAACTTTTCCCCACTGTTCTCACTCCTTGTTACCTTTCTATTTAAAGTAAAGATAGCATATATTTGATTTAAAGCATTGACTATTTTAGCCCAAAGGAGATTAATAACCACTTTTCTTTCAGTTGAACCCATGGTGGCTGTACTTTAAAAAGACCAACCTTTTCATACCACGCAACCCACCGCTCATTCAATTTAAAACGCATTCTTCCTCTGAGCCCTGCCACGACTGAAGTGACCAAAATAAAACCACTAATGTGAAATCCATTTTACTACACTTATTTAAAAAAGAAAAAATAATAATACCTACGTAATTAACACTTTGTTAATAACTCGGAAATATATTTGCAGATTAAGATCTTCCCGTTTGAACTCAAAGTTTTGGACCAGGAAATATCTACATACTCACAATCAGAATCAAGATGGATTTTAAGCCCGAGATGAATCGAGAACGCCCCAAATGCTCAAAAACGGTCGAACCCGGTGCTCAGCGTCCCGTCACGCATGACCCCGACACGAACGTGCCATGTGAGGTGAGGGATTACATTTATAATATGTAGGCTAATTTTATTTTTACTTATCTTATAAACCTCTCATTTAGATTTGCAGCAAAAGCCCGTCTACCTCATGCGATCACGTGAAGACATTCCACACCAACGGGGAACAACAAAGTAGCGACGTTTCCCACCAGATGTGTTCCTCCACCACAAATTTACCGAAGGATACTAAAGCCGTCCACAGCACGGGGGAACGACCCCCGACCCCGGAACGACCCCCGACCCCGGAACGACCTCGTTTCCCATGTACGTCCCCCGGTTGTAAAAAATCCTACCTGAGCAAACACGAAGTTACAAGACACAAAAAAATTCATCATTCGGATAATCCGGTCAGATTTCCGTGCACCGATTGCAGAAAAGAATTCAAAACGATATCAGATCTTACGAAACACAGTTCCACCCATACGAACGAGAAGCCCTTTAAGTGTACCACTTGTGGAAGGAGTTTCTCCCAGATGGGAAACATGCAACGTCACGAGGTAAATAAATATTTTATCTGGGAATAAATGACTCAAGAAGTTCTGGTTTTAATTTTTAAATTAGAGATTTATAACACAAAAAGCTTATTGCGGACTGTTTCTTTTTAAAAAAATCAAATCATGCCGCTGCATATTTCTTTGCAGACGACACACTTGGAAAAATCGAGCCGGGAAAGTTTCGACTGCAACCTTTGTCCTTCTACTTTCACCCGGAAACATAACTTACAACGCCACATCCGCATTACGCATGGAAAGCAGAGGAAGTATCCGTGCTCATATTGCGGAAAAAAGTGGGCGAACTCTCAAGGTTTGCAGCGACACGTAGAAGCGATGCACCCCAAAGGCAACGAGCTTCAGGCCTGCGAAAAATGCGAGTACAAAACCCACGCGAAGTATAATTTAGAGCAACATGTGAGAGCTAAACATACTGCGAATTCTTCTGCGGCAGGAAGTTTGGCGAATTTTACCGTTTAATCCGTCACTTAGGGAAAATGCATACCATGGAACAGTAACATTTAAATTTTAGTTGGTCACATGTTGCTATCTTTTAATTTATGATTAAGATATTTTCAAGCGAAATTTGTTTTCTGTGAAAGATGCATTTTTTTATATTAGTTCAAAACTCTGATTTTTATAATCCCCTAGATAGCACAATGTTATTTGTTGAAGGCAAAACAATTGATGTATTTAGCTCGCGACATATTACCAGATATTTATGTATTTGCAACCTTTCACAATATTTTTATCATTGATGAGTGGATGGAAAGATGTCATAAACTACTTGGATATATATATTTCTTACATACTGTTTTAAATTTTTTCATTTGATGACGACCTACTCTATCAAAATATGTGCGCATGTTTTCTAACTCTTATACATAGGTCACAAATATTTCAATACAATTTTACCTATTGTTACATATTTCTAGATTTTTATACATTTATTAATAGTTATTAATGTTTACGCTACGTATCTATTACTTGAAAAGCGAATAAATCTTTTGAATATTTCTTCAGAATCAAATACATGTACTTCGTAAATATTTTGACGTTTTGTCGTAAACATTAAATTGTTGACCTGGGGAAGGAAGTTTTCATACATTTAAATAGTTATCTATCTTATAAGCTGGAAATGTCTGTCCGGGACGGAAGTGAAAGTAAATTTTCCGCAACGGAAGTGAAAGTAGAGAAAGTCGAGTTTCGAATGGCGCGAAAATTCAAAATACATGAAATTCAAAAAATTAAACGCCTGATGGTAGTTATCTTTGGGGGTTGTCTGGGAGTGGTTGTCTGATGGTGCTTATCTGGGAGTGGTTGCCTGATGGTGCTTATCTGGGAGATGTTGTCTGATGGTGCTTATCTGGGAGTGGTTGCCTGATGGTGCTTATCTGGGAGATGTTGTCTGATGGTGCTTATCTGGGAGTGGTTGTCTGATGGTGCTTATCTGGGAGTGGTTGTCTGATGGTAGTTATCTGGGAGTGGTTGCCTGATGGTGCTTATCTGGGAGTGGTTGTCTGATGGTGCTTATCTGGGAGTGGTTGTCTGATGGTGCTTATCTGGGAGTGGTTGCCTGATGGTGCTTATCTGGGAGATGTTGTCTGATGGTGCTTATCTGGGAGTGGTTGCCTGATGGTGCTTATCTGGGAGTGGTTGTCTGATGGTGCTTATCTGGGAGTGGTTGTCTGATGGTGCTTATCTGGGAGTGGTTGTCTGATGGTGCTTATCTGGGAGTGGTTGTCTGATGGTGCTTATCTGGGAGTGGTTGCCTGATGGTGCTTATCTGGGAGATGTTGTCTGATGGTGCTTATCTGGGAGTGGTTGCCTGATGGTGCTTATCTGGGAGTGGTTGTCTGATGGTGCTTATCTGGGAGTGGTTGCCTGATGGTGCTTATCTGGGAGTGGTTGCCTGATGGTGCTTATCTGGGAGTGGTTGTCTGATGGTGCTTATCTGGGAGTGGTTGCCTGATGGTGCTTATCTGGGAGTGGTTGTCTGATGGTGCTTATCTGGGAGTGGTTGTCTGATGGTGCTTATCTGGGAGTGGTTGCCTGATGGTGCTTATCTGGGAGTGGTTGTCTGATGGTGCTTATCTGGGAGTGGTTGCCTGATGGTGCTTATCTGGGAGTGGTTGTCTGATGGTGCTTATCTGGGAGTGGTTGTCGAATAGTAGCTATGCTGGGAGGTTATTTCACTGCGAAGTGAAGTGGAAATTAGTTAGATTCAGAGTTTCGCCACTTCTGTGGGAGTGAAATGGAAGTGAAGTGTAAGTGAGTTGACGGATCCAGAGTTTTGTCACTTCTGTCGAAGTGAAGTGGAAGTGAAGTGGAAGTGAGTTGATGGATCCAGAGTTTTGTCACTTCTATGGAAGTGAAGTGGAAGTGGAGTGGGAGTCAGACACGAGCACACAGAAATGTCACTCTACCACTTATCTTTTACTTCCATTGCCGACAGATATTTCCAGCTCTTATTTTCGCTCGCCCGGCGGGAGACGGGCTTATACGCTAGTCAATTTATGATTTGAAAATTGAATAAATCTTCTAGATATTTTTCCAGAAAGGCATGTATGTAGTAGATATTTTGAAGTTTTTGTCGTAAATTTTAAGTTTTTACATGTATGTAGGTAGCTATGCATAAAATGGGCCAGCTTAAAGTCCACCATACGAATAAACCCACTACTGAAATTGTCTTCAATGTGTCTTCTGTGTTATACATGCATTCAATTAATCGTGAGAATATCAATTTGTTCGCAAGACAAGACGTCCAAACTTGAAGTTTGCATTTGTCCTACATAATTATTGGACGTATTAATTTTGTGTCGTTAACGGAGCTAAATAAATGGCGAAATACATAGATACGATTCCCTGGAAACGGATTCGCCTCGGTAGTAATTGACAGAATAATTCGATAAGTTGACGAAAATCAGTTGAATTGAATACGTAGCTTATTTCGAGGACCGACGGAAGCTTATCTATCTGCAAATTGAAGAAACATTCGTCATTCGTGAGGTGCAGATGTCCTGGCTTGGATTAAATTGCACGGTGGCAATTATTTGATAAGTTTAAAAGATTCAATTCAAAGATTCGATTCGATTCAAAGATTCATTTTCTAGAAGTTACGCCTTGATTAAAGAAAAATTGGGACATGATTAAGAGTGCCGGGGCAACACTAGGTTTATCCACGTACTAAATATTAAATTGTTTATAATATAAATAAAATCAGTAATTTCGAATGCACTTATAATGCTATTTATTTATTAACATAGTAAAATTTGAGTTAGAAATATAGTTATGTATTAGCATAGCTTTTGCAAACATTAGGGTCTTTAGTGTATATATTCATCAGCTACAACGTATCGATAGGGATTTTCCTTAAGAATTTACCGTCTACTTTAAATGATGATCAGCTATTAATATACAATTCTACAATCCATGCTGAGAACTTTTTTCAACTCGTCTAAATAGAAAAATATAAGTACATTTCTTGTCAAAAATCAAATCAAAATTAAGAAAACAAGATAATTGTCAATAAAATTCGTAATTACCTGCAGCATTCCAAAAACGAACCCCTCCAACGTTATTCTCCAAAATTGCTACAAGAGCACCCTCAGTAGCGTTTCTGCCATTTTGCGTCGCTACCCATGTATTCAGCACCTAGTTTTTGATATACATACATAATTTTACACAAGGATGAGAAGTTTATATGAATATAAATTGTGTTATGAAATCATTATACACATTTTCTTAAAATGATGTACAAAAATGTATAGGATTTTGATTATTAAAGCTTGGATTTTTTAAAAATTCATGAACCCCAGGGTCGGTCAAACCTGTTTGACAACCTCTCTCGGATGGGAAACTCCCAGGGTAACCATGTTTAACCCATGTATCACATCAGACAATTTGAGTCCAGGAAATCCGCGTATTCACAGCACGCGGGAACAACCCAGTTGTGACACGTGTCATGGAGTCTTCTCCAAATTGGTCGGGTTACGGCTGGACGTTAAAGCTGTCCACAGCACCCCGAAGGGATCCATGAAAATTCACGAGGTAAATTAGCATGTTGTGGATAGAATTACTTATGTAGATGAAAAATTACTAATGTGAATATTAATTTCATAGGTGACGCATTTGCAGAAAACTACACCAGACACGTTACAGTGTCACGTCTGTCCTCAAGCCTTCTTAAGTAGGAGTGCCCTACAACGTCATATTCGGGTATTGCATGAAAATCGGAGGAATTATCCGTGTACATTTTGTAAGAGAAGATTCTCCATCTCATCGAATTTGAAGCGTCACGTGGCGATGAAACATGCTGCGAGCAAGGAGAAGATTCATTCCTGCGACAAATGCGAGTACAAGAGCCACTCAAAATTCAATTTAAAGCAACGCCACAATGCTACGAAGAGGCACGAGTGTTACTTTTGCAAAAAGCTGTTTGCCAGTTTCCCAGCATTGGTCAGACATTGTAGTCGAGTTCATACTCTCGAAAAGTAAAAACAAATTCTATGCAAATGTGTTTCATTGTGCTTGTAATTTTATTTTCAGTTTACTCTACCATTTTTTATGAAGAAATGTTTTATTTTTAGTCTGGGTTAGATTATTGCAAAAATCTATTGGCTGCAAATTTTGATGTTTGGGAAAATTATTCCTTTGGTCGGAAGAAAATAAATTTTTTAGCACTATAAATTTGACCCGATTATTACTTACTTTTTTTTAAATGGGCACCTCGGTGTCCAAAAATGTTAATTTGGTTGGCGTCACTACATTGTTGGAATACAAAATTCCTTCTTGGTTAAGTTTGATTAGCAGATCATCCCAAATTATCGTTTGGAATTCTTAAATAGACCTAGTTGGTCATGATTTAGACGATAGTGACCAGTTTACTCCGCCGTAATAATTCGATTTGATTATAATGCATTCTTCCTCTGAGCCCTGCCACGACTGAAGTGACCAAAATAAAACCATTTTAAAACACTTATTTAACACTTTGTTAACAAACTCAGAAATACATATTTGCAGATTAAACTCGCCGTTTGTACTCAAAGTTTTGGACAAGTAAATAGATACACAAAACCAGAATCCAAATGGATCTTAAGCCTGGAATGAATCGAGAATGTCCCAAGAGTTCCAAAACGTTAACAACAAGTCCCCTAGATCTCACCAAGCAGGCTTCCGACACGAAGGTGAAATGCGAGGTGAGGAATTATTAAATTTAGAAGATGATATTATGGACGAATTTTATTTTTATATACTTATAAACCTCTCGTTTAGATTTGCAACAAAAGCCCGTCTGCCTTACGCACACACATGGCAAACGAGCGACCCAAATGTGACATTGCCCCCCAGATGTGTTTCTCCACTACAAATATAACGAATAATACTAAACCCGACCACAGCACGGAGGAACGATCCCGTTTTCCATGCACGTCTCCTGGTTGTGAGAAAACCTACCTGAACAAGCAACACGTTTCACGCCACGTGAAAATTGATCATGCCGAGAATCCGGTCCGATTTCCGTGCACCCTTTGCGGGAAAAAATTCAAAAGGCGGGATCAGCTTAAGAGTCACGTCCCCATCCACACGACTGAGAAGCCTCATAAGTGTGCCACTTGTGGAATGAGTTTCAGACATCTCGGAAATTTGAAGAGTCACGAGGTAAGTACATATTTTATCCAGGAATAAATCACCCAAGAAGTTGCGGCATGATTTCTTAAATAAGAGATTTATAACACAGAAAGCTTTTAGCGGTTAATTTCTTATTTAGAAAATTAAATCATGCCGCCACATTTTATTTCGACGACGCACTTGGGAATATCGAGCCGAGAGATTTTCAAGTGCGACCTTTGTCGTAAAACTTTCTCCTGGAAATATGACCTACAACGCCACATCCGAGTTACGCATGAAAAGGAGAGGACTTATCCGTGCCCAGATTGCGAAAAAAAGTGCGCGAGCTCTCAAGGTTTGAAGCGACACGTGGAAGCGAAACACTCCGGTTACAAAGAGTCTCACCACTGCGACAAATGCGAGTACAAAAGCCACGTGAAGGTTAAGTTAGAGCGACACGTGAGACGTAAACATTCGAATGTTACTTCTGCGGCAGGAAGTTTGGCGGATTTAACCGTTTAATCTGTCCCTACGGGAAAATGGTATTTAAATTTTCGTTGGACACATGTTGGTATCTTTTAATTTATATTTCAGATATTCTAAATCGAAATTTGTTTTCTTTGAAAGATGTATTTTTATATATTAGTTCAAAACTTCTGATTTTTATAATCCCTTGGACAGCACAATGTTACTCGCTGAAGGAAAAACAATTTATTTAGCTCACGACATTCGTTACAACATATTCGTATATCTGTTATTCTTCAAATTTTTCAATGATGACGACCTACTATCAAACTATTTTTTCTAACTCTTATACCTAGGTCGCAAATATTTCAATACAGTTTTACCTATTGTAACATACTTCTAGGTGTTTAATGTTAAATGTTTTAAATGTTTTTATATGCTACATGTATAACTTGAAAAGCGAATAAATCTTTTAGATATTTTTTCAGAAAGCAAATGCACGCATTTCGTACATATTTTGACGTTTTTGTCGTAAACGTTAAATGCATATTTTAGCGATTTTTCATTGCCATATGTATGTACATACATATGAAATTCATTGCCACCCACTGAATTGTATGGTACGTGTTTACATACGTACATATGCATATCACTATAAACTTTTCCACATTGCACTGACTCCTTGTTTCCTGACTCTATTTAAAGTTAAGATACGTACATACATTTTATTTAAAGCATTGACAAGTTATTTTGGTCCAATGGATGGTAATAAGCATTTCTCCTTCAGTTACACACCTTGTGGTTGTAGTTAACTTAAAAAGTCAACCTTTTTCATACCACGCAACCCATAACTCCTTTTATTTAACACGCATTCTTCCTCTGGGCACTGCCACGACTGAAGTGACCAAAATAAAACCATTTTAACACACTTGTTTAACACTTTGTTAACAAACTCGGAAATATATATTCATTCCCCGTCAGCGCGCCAACCGAGGAGGATTTGCTCGTGCACGAGCTCCTCTAAATTTATTTAATTTTTATTCTAATTTTAATAAATTTAATTGGTAATATCTTCGATTATAATTGGAAATGTGTGAAAATCCCTCATCGTCAAGCTGAACAACTATTTCAGCCAAAAAATTGCATTTTAAATCTTTATTTTAGAAAATTAGAATTACCACGTGGCTTTTGCCTGTCCACTCGGTTGGTTGGGGAATCAAAATTGGTTTGTATTTCAAAATTAGGTTGGTTTTTTGGTGCAATTTTTCCAACAAAAATAGTTTTAAGTAAGTAAGCTTAAGTTGACATAAATTATAATTGGCTAATGATTTGGAATTGTAATAATTACAAGTATTGTATCTAAATTTACAACTTAACCAGACTTGGTATGCAACCAACTTTGTCGCGTTCCTTAGAGCTGCGAGATGGTTATGTTTGTTCATCTTGCTAAATTATTAATTTGTTGGTAGAAGTATTGGCTTAGAGAGGATGTAAACTGACGAAACTAGGCAAGTAAGTTACTTTAATTTGTTAAAATGTTTAATTTAGAGCCTCCTTCTCTAGTGTTAAGCATAAAATTTTGTATTTCTTGTACTAATAAGCCAGTATAATAAAGCGTTCATTCATTCATTCATATATATTGTAGATTAAACTCGCCGTTTGTAATCAAACTTACAAGTACATACTCAAACCCAGAATCCAGATTGATCTTCAGCCCGAGATGGATAGAGAATGTCTCAAGAGTTCCAAAACATTCACGTTCCCATAGATCTCACCACACAGGCTCCCGAAGCCAAGGTGAAACGCAAGGTGAGCGGTTCGACTTGTAAAATTAAAACAGATTTCACAATTTCCAACGTCCACAAATCTAGATGGGTTTTAAGCCTGGGATGAATCGAGAAGGTCGCAAGTGCTCAAAAACGGTCGAATCTGATAAGAATTGTGCTCCTCAGCGCCCCGTCACGCATGACTCCGACAAGAAGGCGAAATGTGAGGTGAGGAATTATTAAATCTAGGGGATGGTCGCTAATTTTATTTTTATTTATCTCTTACTTAAAATCCTCTCGTTTAGATTTGCAGCAAAAGTCCGTCTACCTTATGCACACACATAGAAAATCTCCACACTAACCAGGAGCGACCCAAAGGTGACATTGCCCACCAGGCGTCTTCCTCAACCACAAATTTACCCAACGATGTTGAAGCTGTCCACAGCACGAAGAAGGAACGACCCCGTTTCCCGTGTACGTTCCCCGGTTGTGAGAAATCCTACCTAAGCAAATCCAAAGTTGCAAAACACTACAGAACTCAGCATTCGGAGAATCCTGTCCGATTTCGGTGCACCGTTTGCGAGAAAAAATTCAAAACGAAGGCAGACCTTGGGCGACACAGTTCCACCCAAACGAACGCGAAGCCTCATAAATGTGCCATTTGTGGGGGGAGATTTGCCCACAAAGCGGCCCGAAATCGTCACCAGGTAAATATTTTATCCGAGAGTAAATGACCCTGAAAAGTATTTTTTAATTTTTACACGCCAAGCTTATAGCGGGTAGTCTCTTCTTTAAAAATTCAAATCAGACCAATGTATGTCCCAATATTTACAGACGATACACCTTGAAAAATCGGCCCGAGAGAGTTTCAAGTGTCAATTTTGTCCTACGACTTCCTTTCGGAGATCGAACTTACAAATCCACATCCGGTTGATCCATGAAAATCAAAGGAATTATCCGTGCTCATTATGCGAAAAAAAGTTGTCGAGTGTTCAAGATTTTAAGCGTCACGTGGCGGTGAGACACTCCGAAAACAAAGGAACTTCAACCGCTATACGAGTACAAAAACCACTCGAAAAATAATTTAGCACAACATGTGAGAAGTTACCAATATTTTCGATTGTTACTTCTGAAGTTTCGCGAATTTGATTCTTTAGTCTGTCACTACGGGCGATGACACGCCATGGGAAAATCACATTTAATTTTTCACATGTGGATATCTTTTGATTTATAATTAAGATATTTTCAAGTGAAGTTTTTTTTCCCTAAAATATATTTTTATAATAGTTCTGATTTTTATAATCCTTGCACAATGTTACTCGTTGAAGGCAAAACTAATTTGCATAGCCCACAACATATTATCAGATGCATGCACACGTCTTTATTTTGAACTTTTTCATTTGGTGACAACCTACGGTCAAAGTTTGTGCGTTTGTTCTCTATTTCTTATAAGTAGATGACAAAATTTCAAAACATTTGGTATTATTTATCGTTACATATTTCTAGATTTTCAGACATTGATTAATTTTTGCTACTTGGTGCGTAAATACATAAAACTTTTTTTGTGACTGCATATAGATATATCGTAAATATTCTGGTATTTTTGTCGTAAATATTAAATGCATATTTCAGCGATTTTTCCTAAATACATAGCCGTTCTCTAAATACTATGTAACCAGACATAAAATTGGCCGGCTTAAAATGTGCCATGCAAACAAGCCCATTCACTTAAATAATTCCTTAATTATATAATTTTTATTCTAATACGGTAATAAATATTTTAGTTTTAATTTGGTCCGGAAAGTCATATGCATATTTAGTTCTCCGTTTTTTCTACCCAACTGTAGAAATAAATTTGTACGCTAATTTGAAATTTGCGGAGAATTTAAATGGAGGGCAGATCTTGAGCAGCATTCTTACCCATACGACGGAGAAGCCGTACAAGTGCTCCACGTGTGGGGGGAGTTTCGCCCGCAGGGGAAGCCTGAGAACCCACAAGGTAAATAAACGGCTTGTGGAAAAATTTGGTGAACAATTATCCATGTTCATTTTACATTTTCATTTTTTTTTTATTTTACAGATGACACGTTTGGTCAAATCCTAAGGAAATATGACCTACAACGCCACACCCGAGTTTTACATGAAAATCAGAGGAATTTTCCGTGCACATTTTGTGACAAAAGATTCTCAACCACATCAAACTTGACGGTTCACTGTGGAGGCGATCCATGCCACGAATAAAGAGCTGTTCCATTCCTGCGACAAATGCGAGTACAGGAGTCACTCGAAACTCTATTTAGCTCAACACATGAGACGTCACAATATTGAGAAGAGGCACGAGTGATACTTTTGCAAGAAGCAGTTTGCCATCCATTAAAGATTGATCAGACACTGGAGCAGGATTCACTGTCTCGAGATGTGAAAGAGTAAATGTATGCTTTTAATTAGGGTTGCCCCGGGTACCGGGTAACTACCCGGTACCCGGCATACCCGGCCTATTTCGGGATACCCGGTACCCGGCCGGGTACACTTAAGTACCCGGCCGGGTACACTTAAGTACCCGGTCTACCCGGCCGGGTAATTGAAATATTCAATTTTCTTACTTAAAATGCAAAAATCTTACAAAAAATATAATCCGTCGGAGTTCATTTTTCTACTTGGTATAAAATAATATATTTGGAAACAATGGGTACAACCTTGGCCAACACTTATTTGGAAATTATGATACAAATTTCAAAATTAGTTTGGGCGCACTCACGTGAGCGAATTATCAATCAGTGAATTTGCATATTTCGAACATTAAGCATAACTTGCGAAGTTTTTAGAAATTTGCAAGATCACTCAAAGCTTTTGCTAAAAAGCCATTGTTTTTTCGTAAAATTATTTCGCAGGCTCATCCTCGCAGTCATCAGCGAGAGAAATTGCGAACCCCATGACTAAAAAATCAAAATAGATATAGTTGATTTGAGAGACTTTCGAAGTGTTATCTTGCTAATCGATTCGCAAGATATCACGTTGAAAGTCTCGCAAAATTTGTTTTGTGAGGTAATTCCTTAAGAAATAAATTTGTTACGCCTAACAAGTTTGCTAATTGATTGCGATGATAAATAAGACATTGTCATGAGTACGCTCTTTGTGTGTCAAACAGGAAACTTTCATTTATGTAATATCCACTTTCTAGCCCGATTCGTTGAAATTTTTAGCACATGCATATTGGACAAAGACATGGCAAACAAGTTCAAAGATAGGCTACATCGGTCACCAAGTTGACCTTTGGTTGGGGGTCGTATTGGAGCAAAGTTTAACCATAGTGAACCGAACCTTAGAGAATGCGACCCGTACCAAATTTTACAATATATTACTTTCATTTGAAATTTGGTACGGAGGTTAAAAATGAAGTCTGCACTGTAGAAATTTAGCTTGTAATTTTTAAAACTTATAAAATTGTTGCAAATTCTAAAAGAAGTAGACAATTGCCCTTATTTTTAATATTTAAAATTACCCGGTACCCGGCCGGGTAGCCGGGTACCCGGCAAAAAGTTTAGGCCGAGTACCGGGTAGCCGGGTACCGGGTAGTGCCACTACCCGGGGCAACCCTACTTTTAATTTGAGATATTCTTGGTTTATTGTAGTAATTTTGTATGTAAACAGGAGCTACTCGAAGCACAATTTTGTCATGCACGTAAGACGGCACAAGGCTGCGAATCATGAATGCTATTTCTTTCGGAAGAAATTTGCTGCTTTTCAAAATTTGGTTGGGACACAGTGGCACTAATGCCTTGGAAAGAAGTCGACGAGTGCCACGTGGAGGCGAGACACCTCGTGGACACAGAGAAGATTCATTCCTGCGACAAATGCGAGTACAAAAGCCCTCACTCGAAGTATTATTTAGCACGACGCGTGAGATATCACAATGTTGCAAATTGGCGCGAGTGTTACTTTTGTAAGAAGCAGTTTTCCAGCTTCCAAATATTGGCCAGACACTGTCGAGTTCATACTCTCGAGAAGTACAGATAAAAGAGTACATTGCGTTTCGATGTGGGTACAATTTTGTATGCAGTTTTTATTCAGAAATTCTTTCAATTATGCGTAGTTTGGTTTTATTTTGTTACCCTGCGTGTGATCCAGTTGGAGGATCGTAAGTTTGAGGAAGATTTGAAAATTTTGTTAGCGCTTATCGATTTTTAACTGTTTAAGAATTTTCAGAACAATAAAAACGTGTCAACGATTGAATTTTAATGTATTATGTTTAATCTTGAATAATTCCCACTTGATAATAATTCCGATTGATTTTTCACCCATCGCACACACCCCAAAAAGGAGTTCAAAAATGCAGCGAATCCAATAAGTACAACTTTACTGCAGCTCGTGACGTGCATTTCCAGGTATCGTGCATCAACTTTTCCCATGAATCTGTATTACACCATACAGATTCATGACTTTTCCACACTGCACTGACTCCTTGCAACAATAAAGCAAGGATAGAATATATTTGATTTACAGTATTGGTTTTTTTGGTCCATGCAAAGTGTTTTAATAACGATGTTTTCCTCCAGTTGCACATAGGTGGGTGTAATTTAAAAAATGCAACCTTTTTCATACCACGCAAGCTACCACTCATTTTATTTAACACGCATTCTCCCGCTGGGCACTGCCACGACTAAAGTGACCAAAATAAAACCATTTTAACACATTTATTCAACACTTTGCTAACAAACTCGGAAATATATATTGCAGATTAAACTCGTACTTTGTACGAACCCCTCTGGACAAGCAAATTCATACCCACAATCAGAATCAAGATGGATAAGCCTGGGATGAATCGAGATCGCCCCAAATGCTCAAAAACGGTCGAATCTGATACGAATTGTGCGCAGCGCTCCGTCACGCATGATCCCGACACGAAGGTGGAACCTGAGGTGACGAATTAAATTTAGAAGATGGACACTAATTTTATTTTTCTTTTCTGTTACTTATCTTATAAACCTCTCGTTTAGATTTGCAGCAATAGCCCGCCTACATCATGCGATCACATGAAGACATTCCACGCCAACGGGGAGCAACCACGTTGCGAAATTTCCCCGGCGTGTTTCTCCACTACAAATTTAGCTAAGGATATTAAAGCCGACCACAACACGAAGGATCTACCCCGTTTCCCATGCACGTTTCCCGGTTGTGAGAAAACCTACAAAAACAAGAGACACATTTCACAGCACGTGAAAACTGACCATGCCGAGAATCCGGTCCGATTTCCTTGCACCCTTTGCGAGAAAGAATTCAAAACGATGTCACATCTTGGGCGACACAGTTCCACCCATACGAACGAGAAGCCTTATAAGTGTACCACTTGTGGGAGGGGTTTCGCCCAAAAATCTGACCTGATGCATCATGAGGTAAGTATTTTATCCGGGAATAAATATCCCAAAAAGTTCTGGTTTGATTTTTTAATTAAGAGACTTTTTACACGCATAGCTGATATTGCAAGGCAACAATCTCTGTGGGACGGAGAAATTCAGACGATGGCCTCTTTTAGCATGCATTTAGCTCACAGAGCGGAAATTTTCCGTCCCGCGCAGATTTTTACTTTACAATAGGGGGCAATCTCTTCTTTAAAAAATCAAATCAGACCAATGTATGTCCAAATATTTACAGATGACACACCTTGAAAAATCGGCACGAGCGAGTTTCAAGTGTCAATTTTGTCCTACGACTTCCTTTCGGAGATCGTACTTACAAAGCCACATCCGGTTGATCCATGAAAATCAAAGGAATTATCCGTGCTCATTATGCGAAAAAAAGTTGGCGAGTGTTCAAGATTTTAAGCGTCACGTGGCGGCGAGACACTCCGAAAACAAAGGAGCTTCAACTGCTCCGCGTGTACAAAAACCACTCGAAAAATAATTTAACACAAAATGTGAGAAGTCGACATCCTTTCGATTGTTACTTCTGAGGTTTTTCGCGAATTTGATTCTTTAGTCTGTCACTATGGGCGATGACCCGCCATAGAAAAATCACATTTAATTTTTCACATGTTGATATCGTTTTATTTGTAATTAAGATATTTTTAAGTGCAGTTTATTTTCCCTAAAATGTATTCCTATATTAGTTCTGATTTTGATAATCCCTGCAGAATGTGTTACTCGTTAGAGGCAAAACTAATTTGCATAGCCCACAACATATTATCAGATACCTGAATATACACGTGTTTATTTTGAACTTTTTCATTTGATGACAACCCACGGTCCAACTTTGTGCGTGCGTTCTCTAACTCTTATAAGTAGTTGACGAAATTTCCAAACATTTGTAATTATTTTTCATTACATATTTCTAGGTTATCTGACATTTATTAATTTTTGCTACTTGGTGCGTACAAACATAAAGCTGTTAGGTATTTTATAACTGCATGTAGATATATCGTAAATATTCTGGCGTTTTTGTCGTAAATATTAAACGCATATTTCAGCGATTTTTCCTAAATACATACATGTATGTATAGCCGTTCTAATACTATGTAACCAGTAATAAAATTGGTCGGCTTAAAGTGTGCCAAGCAAACAAGCCCATTCACTTAAATTATTCCTTAATTATACAATTTTTATTCTAATACGATAATAAATATTTTAGTTTTATTTAATTTCATCCGGAAAGTCACACACATATTTAGTTCTGCATTTTACCCGTTCCATACATGGATTATGACATGAGATTCCATTACTCTAGTTGGAATCTATATTCTGCGGTTGCCATACAGTGCTGAACTTCTGCATACACAGACACATGCAACACACTGCACTGACTCCTTGTAACTTTTCTATTTATAACAAAGATAGCGCATGTTTGATTCAAGGTATGGGCTTAGTATTTTGGTCCAAGGGATTATAACAACCTTTTTTCTTCAGTTGCACACTCGGTGGCTGTAATTTAAAAAAATCAACCTTTTTCATACCATGCAAATCACTACTCATTTTATTCAACACACATTCTTCCTCTGGGCACTGCCACGACTGAAGTGACCAAAACAAAACCAGTAATGTGTAACGAAGTTTAACACACTTAAATATTTAACACTTTGTTATCAAACTCTGAAATATATTTACAGATCAAACTCTCGCCATTTGTACTCACACTCTTGGAGAAGTAAATATCTACATACTCACAATCAGAATCCAGATGGATTTTAAGCTTGAGCTGAATCAAGAACATCCCATGAGTTCCGAATCGTTAATAACAAACGCGCACGTTGCCACAGATCTCGCCACGCAGGATCCCGAAGCCAAGGTGAAATGCCAGGTGAGCGGTTCGACGTGTAAAATTAAAACTGATTTTATAATTTCCAAGGTCCACATAACTCACAATTTAAAATAAATTCCTTAGGTTTGCGGGAGAATTTTTAAACATCTGCCCAGCCTACGGGCTCACACTAGAAGCTTTCACACCAACCGGGAACGACCCAGTTGTGACACGTGTCATAGCGTGTTCCTCAATTCGTACAACTTAAGAAACCATATTAAAGCCTTCCACAGCACGGAGGAACGACCCCGTTTCCCATGTACGTTCTTCGGCTGTGAAAAATCCTACCTGAGCAAATACGAGGCTACAAGACACCATAAAATTGAGCATTCGGAGAATCCGGTCCGATTTCCGTGCACACTTTGCGAGAAAGGGTTGAAAACAAGGAGAGGCCTTGAGCAACACCGTTCCACCCATACGAACGAGAAGCCGTTTAAGGGTACAACGTGTGGGAAGAGTTTCGGACACCTCGGAAACATGAAAAGTCACGAGGTATTTAAATAAGTATCTTATCCGAATTAATAACCCAAGAAGTTTTGGTTTGCTAATTTTTAAGATTTGAGATAAGATTTAAGATTTGATTTTGATTTGAATTTTTGAGAATTTTACCAGGAAAAGTTTATAGGTTTATAGGAAAAGGTTTATAGGACAAGTTTACAATTTCTTCTTTAGAAAATCAAATCACGTCGCATTTTATTTACAGATGATACACATTGAAAAATCGAGCCGAGAGGTTTTCAAGTGTCACCTTTGTCCTGCAACTTCCTCCCGGAAAGATAGCTTACAACGCCACATCAAAGCTGTGCACGAAGAACGGAGGAATTATTCGTGCTCATTTTGCGAAAAAAAGTACGCGAGTGTACACGGTTTAAAGCGTCACGTGGAGGCGAAACACCCAATTCATTCCTGCGATAAATGCGAGTACGAAACCCACTCGAAGCATGATTTAGAACAACATGTGACAAGTCACCATATTGCGGATACTTTTGATTGTGACGACTGCCCCAGGAAATTTCGCAAATTTGAATTGTTAGTGCATCACATCGGGCGAGAGCATATGAATGAAAAGGAAGATTCAAGTCGTGAAATCTTGACATCTTTGATTGATAATTAAGATTTTTTCAAGCGAGGAAGTTTGTTTTCCTTGCAACCCATTTTATATTAGTTTAAAGCTTTCTATTACAATGACCTGGACAGCAGAATGCCACTTTCTAAAGTCAGAATTACATAGCCCACAACTTATTATCAGATACATTTTATTTATATTCAACGTTGTTTTATTTGATGACGACCTACGGTCAAACTTTGTAGGTGTGTTCCCGAACTCTGATAGATCACGGAAATCCCTAAACATTCTTATCTATCGTTATATATTTCTAGATTTTCAGACATTTGTTAATCTTTTCGGTATATGTCCCTTGAATAGTAATTGTTTTTTAATTATGTATAAGTACTTCTTAAATATTCTGGCGTTTCTTGTAAGTATTCAGTGCCGCGACAAAGGTGGATTTGACTGGATAATGGTTTCCAGGCCGTACGGCCCGAAGGGCCGTACCGGGCCTGACTAAATATGCACTAGATAAAATCAGGTTTTATGATTAAACTTTTGAAATCATGAAGTTGTTAAGTTTTGATGAAATTGTTAAAGAATTTAATTTACGCTAACGTCAATTGAATTCATTCATCTGAATCTATTCCAACCATTTAGTTATAACATATTAAAACTTTTTCATAGACATTTAGCCATTTTACGTAAGGTATGTGTTTTCCATTTCAAAACTTTTTTTTACCAGAAAATGAGGAAAAAAGTGGTAAAGGGGGGAAAAAGGCCTAATGATGAGCAACCTCAGAAGGCCCCTCGAAAAGTGAGGCCTACGACCTCGCATGCCGAGAAAGCTCAAGGCCTTGACCTCACAATTTAAGTCTTGGCCTCTGGTCGGAAGCTATATTTCTCGACCTAGGCCTAACGGGTTCCGGATTGATGGTCGACAAACGAGTTGTCGACACCTCATCGGTCGACAAATAACAGGTCGCCAAAAGAACTAGTCGCCAATCTCAACTTGTCGACAGATGACTAGTCAACGCAGTAGATCGGTCGACATGGGATATTTGTCGCCAATTTCAATTGGTCGACAAAATATGTTGGTCGACACTGAATATTACAGGAAATGCATATGTACATAAGCGTACGTATATGCATACGTACGAGTTGACTCCTACAATTTGTTAATATATTAACAAATCGAGTTAACTTTTTTGCCCTTCATAATTCCTAGAACTGGACTTTCTAATCTAAATTTAATGTGGAAGTATAGTATATCTTAATCCATGACTCAGAGTTCCACCTTCTACGAACTACACTTGTTTAGTTCAAGTTCAGAAGTTGACCAAAAGGCAGTAATAAATTATTGAATAAAAAATACACAATGTCTAGTTCGGAAGAAATAAGTTGGGGAAAAACTGAGAGGGGGACTGCGTCGTCCAAAAAAGTACTCACAAATTGCCTTGGATGCTCGTTTGCGTAATCTTATAAACTCTTTCTCCAAGATGGAACTTTCTGATTTTTTAACTGGAGTAGCCTATAACATGATCGGAACAAATTGTAAACGCCAGCGAAAAGCTGCACGTGGCGAAAAACGAGGTGACGAGTAGAGGTGAGCTGGATCGTCATTTTTTGAGATCCAATCCATCCAAATCCATTTCACCCAAAAAATTTCAGATCCAATCCATCCAAATCCAATTCATCCAAAAAATTTCAGATCCAATCCATCCAAATCCAGTTGGCCCAAAAAATTTCAGATCCAATCCATCCAAATCCATTTGGCCCAAAAAATTTTAGATCCAATCCATCCAAATCCAGTTGGATCGGATCAGGGCATGGATTATCCAAAGAATTATATATATAAACTCATGGTTAGTGTTCGGGATAAATCTGATTGGACTATATATATGTCACAGTGTGTGCCATGCAACAAAAGTATGGCCCAATTACTGTTAGGATGAGATCGGAGTGTTAAAAAGAACACTTCCTGATATTCTTTATGGTGACGAAATTTATCCAATTAATTCGACCAAATCCAATCCACCCAGATCCTATTCATCCAAATCCATTTCACCCAAAAAATTTGAGATCCAATCCATCCAAATCCATTTGGCCCAAAAAATTTGAGATCCAATCCATCCAAATCCAATTCATCCGAAATTTTTCAGATCCAAACCATCCAAATCCATTTGGCCCACTGTGCTAGGTCCACTGTGGGCGCAAAGCAAATTCGTTTAAGTTAAAAATTGTAATATTTTTAAAATTTCTGGAAAATTTGTACCAATAAAATCAAGTGCTTGTATATACAACTTCCCTTGCAAGTATTTTTTACAACTTTTAATTGGCGTCGACATATTTACTGTCAACCAGTTGAGATTGGCGATAAACATGCCATGTCGACCGATCTACTGCGTCGACTAGTCATCTGTCGACAAGTTGAGATTGGCGACTAGTTGCTTTGGCGACCTGTTATTTGTCGACCGATGAGGTGTCGACAACTCGTTTGTCGACCATCAGCCACCAACCCAGGCCTAACATCGGGAATCTTACGCCTCGGCGAGGCCGGTCTCGGCCTCTCTAGTTTTCAAAATATCGGCCTCAGACCTCATTGACGTCGACCTCAAAATCTTTAAAAAGGGTTAGGCCTAAGGCCACAAAAACTTATCAAAGAGCCCAAGGCTTCCCATCACTTGAGGCCATGTATTTTTTAGTCCTTGAGGAATCCATATTTTCGTACTTCAAATTTGTATCTTCGTGAATGCCGCCTAGTTTAACCTATTATTTTCCTTCCCAGATAACAATTCGAGATTTCGCTGTGGATTCCCTAGCGAATTCGCAGCGAAATGTACGCCGATTCGCTAGCGAATGCGTGGAGAAATCGTGGAGTCGCTCCGACTTCGGTGCGAATTCATGTAGTCGCTACGAGTTCGCTTTGAATTCGCCAGCGAATCGGCGGACATTTCGCTGCGAATTCGATAGGGAATTTACAGCGAAATCTCGAATTTTTATCTGGGTTCTAGTGTTTCTACCATTTTATTATGTATATACGTATATTAAGTGAATTTCAAAAATTTCTCGGACTGAGCGTATTACTCCAATGTTCTCGAACTTATGAACTTAACCTTATACAGAGATAAACCAGACCAAGTGTTCCATAAAATCATTTTCCATATTTCGCGAAAGAAAGTGTTAAACTCGGGTTCTGGTGGGTATCAACTACCATCGCGAGTCAGTGTCGTATCCGTCGCACTTTGTCGCGCTCACTAAATCATGCGTCTCATTTAATTAAACTATACTGGTTACTTAAATGTTAGCTTATCAAAATACAAAAAATTTAAATGTTGGTATATCATTAGCCCTCGTTTGTTACGGCACTTGCCGTATAACCCCCTCCCTCAGAAACTTTGACCCTAAAAAACTCCTTGCCCCAGCCATTTGCTTCGGACAACAAAAGCTGAAAAAGTAGCTCTTCCCAAGAGGAAAAATCTGGCATCAGGTTGCCAGAAGAAAATGGCTGGGGCAATGAGTTTTTTGACGATTTCTGTTTACATACGTAAAAAAACCGAATTTTCGAATTTTGAAACTCTTGATGCATCAAAATGTTCGTATTCCAGGGGGAAGTCATATTGCAAATGCAAGTATAGGTCTAACTCTTGTTCTACAAGATCTACATAGACTTTCTCATTTTTCCAAACTTTCTTCTTTTATTTTTACAGGGGGTGTGGTTGTACATTATTCAAAAAATTCTATGAGACATTACTCATTGTACCCACAATTTCATTTACAATTAATTTCATTTAATTCAATGAAATCGATGCGAAAAGCTATGGAACCTATCCGTCATTTTATCTGTACAGACATCAAGTACGAACTTCAATTTTTAGAAATGTTAATTTTTAAAGATGATTAAAATATCAAACTCATTCCGGTATTTTTTTAGTGAAGCAAATTCCTAGCAGCGAGAAAAGTACTAAAAATTGATTGTCCTGAGGTAGGTATTTCGGATTTTGACCTGACTAATTTTAAATTCTTCACGCTCACAGATAAGAGGAACTGTTACATTATTACTTGTTTTCGCTTGTGGCAGAATTTGAAAATAAAATTTCACCAAAATCAGTATTTTTCAAAACGCTCTAACTTTTCTGATCATTTTAAAATAGTTTTAATTATTTTCAATGCTTTTTGTATTGTTAATGATGCAGATATAGCATGAAAATCTCAGATTTTAGAAATTTTAAAATGAATTTTAATAATTGCAGGGGAGTAATTCTGAGCAAGAATTGTGCTTAATTTTTGAAATCGGGTTAAAATTCGAAAAGTGTATTTAATAAATTTAATAATTCCGCTACAGGGGAAAATGAAATACAAATTCTAGAAAACAAAAAAAATATTGGTCAGTTTATGTTGATGCTGCAACAATAAAAATTAGTCCGGTCGAAATAGGAGATAACCAACTTACAGCTCTGCTCTGTAATCCCAAGTCGATAACACACAATTCGATTTCTTGGCCATTTATCTAGCGATATTGATTAAGTTTTGAACAAGGCCAGTGGGAAAAATGTATGAGCCAAATTCCATTTTCCTGGTAATGTGAGTTTCTACCAGTCGAAACCCTGATTTTGGCCGGACAGGTATTAAATTATAATGGTTATAAAAAAGGCCGTACAATTCTTCAAAAATCCAGGCCCATCATTGGCTTGTCGCGGCACTGTAAGTATTGAATACATATTTTAGTGATTTTTTCTAATTACATATCCGCCCTCTGCATATTATGCAACTAGACGTAAAATAGTTTGGCTTAAAGTCCACCAGCCAATTCTCTGGAATGTTTCCTTTGTTATACAATTAATTCAAATAGGATAATAAATTTGTTTGGTTTTAATTTCATCCGGAAAGTCACGTACATATTTAGTTCGCCACATTTTTTTGCCCTTTTGACTTCTTTTGTTTTCTACAGAATGGTATATGTATAAATAAGCTACGGTGCAAATAAAAAGCAAAAACAATGTATCTTTCGACGCAGTGTCGAACTTATATAAACTTAGGCTGTATGTATGTAAATACGTGTAACCACCGTGCACATGAGAAGGGTTCACGCCAAGTGGACACGACCCAGTTATGACATGTGTCATCTGGTGTTTTTCAATTCGGCCAAATTACGAGAACATATTAAATCACATGAAAACGCTCCACACCACCAGTTGCGACATTTACCACCCGGTGTCCTCCTCCACTACAAATTTGCCGATGGATATTGAAGCTGTCCACAACACGGGGGAACGGCCTCGTTCCCCATGTTCATTTCCCGGCTGTGAAAAATCCTACCTGAACAAATACGACGCTAAGAAACACCTGAGAATTGAGCATTCAAGAAAAGATATTTTAAGGCATTGGCTATTTTGGTCTACAGGATGGTAATAACTATTTTTCGCTCAGTTGTACACCTGTTGGTTCTAATTAAAAAATCAACCTTTTTCGTGCCATGCAGCCCACTACTCATTTTATTTAACACGCAATCTTCCTCTGAGCACTGCCAGACTGATGTGGCCAAAATAAAACCAGTAATCTGTAACGCATTTTAACCCACTTAATTATTTATTAAACACTTTCTCACAAACTCGGAAATATATTTATAGATTGAACTCTGGCCGTTTTTACTCAAAGTTTTGGACTAGTAAATATATATTACATAACAACCCGAATACAGATGGATTATAAGCCTGAAACGAATTGAGAACGTCTCAAGTGCTCAAAAACGGTCAAATCTAATAAGAATTGTGCTCAGCGTCCCGTCACGCATGACCCCGACACAAAGCTGGAATGTGAGGTGAGGAATTAAATTTAGAAGACGGACGCTTATTTTATTTTTACTTATCTTCACTAATCTTACAAACCTCTAGTTTAGATTTGCAGCAATAGCCCGTCTACCTTATGTGCTCACATGGAAAATCTCCACACCAACGGGGAACAACAAAGTAGCGACATTTGCCACCAGTTGTGTTTGTCCACCACAAAATTACCGAACATGAAACCCGTCCAAAGCACGGTGGAACGACCCCGTTTCCCATGTACGTTTTCCGGCTGTGAAAAATCCTACCTGAAAAAATCTGAAGTTGCAAGACACCACTTAAGAGTTGACTATATTTTATGTTAAACCAATCCTCATAAATCACATAGTGGCGAAACTGACGAACTCGGTGGGGTATAAAGTTCACAAGTTTCGGTGGGAATTTTGAATTTTTTGCAAAAAACTGCAAATACCATCTGGCATTGTTTATGTTTTTAGTGGTTTCCAGTGGGAAGAGTATGTGTGGTGGTGGCTTCCCACCACGCATACTCTTTGACAAGTTGAGACGAATCAGGAAAAAATGCATTTTTTGAGCTTCTCAATCTTATACCGAGATTAAATGTGCACTCAAAAATGTGAAATTTGTTGAATTATAACTATTGATAGTTGGGCAACAAGGGAGCAGGCCCTTTAAGGAATTAATATGCTACTTTTATTTATATTAAATGACGAACTCGAGAGTAAACAAAATTTTGATGGAAATTGATATTCGGCATTTAATATAAATAAAAGTAGCATATCAATTCCTTAAAGGGCCTGCTCCCTTGTTGCCCAACTATCAATAGTTATAATTCAACAAACTTCACATTTTTGAGTGCACATTTAATCTCGGTATAAGATTGAGAAGCTCAAAAAGCTGTGCAAAAAATTATGCATGTTGTAAACATACGGAGAAATATTGAGCGAGAGACTGTATTGGCTGATAGAGCGGCCAGAGCAAACTATCACGCCCCGTTAACTAAGCATTCCGAGATTCCTGCCCGATTTCCATGCACCGTTTGCGGGAAAGAATTCAAAACGGAGTCACATCTTAGAAAACATAGTTCCATCCATACGAAAGAGAAAGTTTACAAGTGTGCCACTTGTGGGAAGAGTTTCCCGTACAAATCGACCCTGACGCGTCACGAGGTAAATATTTTATCCGGGAACAATGACCCAGCAAATTATGGCTTGAGTGTTTACACGCATGGCAGTGTCTTCTTTAAAAAATCAAATCAGACCAATATACATATGTCTAAATATTTACAGATTTACAGATTTCACACCTTGAAAAATCTAACGAGAAGCCGTATAAATGTGCCACATGTGGGAGGAGTTTTGCCCAAAAATCGGGCCTGAAAAATCACCAGGTAAATCAATATTTTATCCGGGAATAAATGATAGCAAAATATGGTTTGATGTTTTAAGTTAGAGACTTTTTACACGCATATCTTCTAGCGGTCTCTTATTTAAGAAATCAAATCATGCCGCCCCATGTTTATTTACAGATGACATACTTAGGAAAATCAAGGCGGGAGATTTTCAAGTGTCCCCTTTGTCCAGCGACTTTCTTCCGGAGATTTAATTTAAAACGCCACATCCGAGCTGCGCATGAAAAGGAGAGGAATTACCCGTGCTCATTTTGTGACAGGAGATTCTCCAACGCATCAAATTTGAAGGTTCACGTGGAGATGAAACACTCCGAAAACGAAGAGTTTCATCATTGCGATAAATGCGAGTACAAAAGCCACTCGAAGCATAATTTAGCACAACACGTGAGAAATCACCATCCTCTCGATTGTTACTTCTGCAAAAGGAGGTTTCACAAATTTGATTCTTTTGTTTTTCACTACGGGAAAATGCATACCAAGGAAAAGCAAGATTTAAGTTTAGACAAGTTGGTATGTTTTGAAATATAATTAAGATATTTTCAAGGGATGTTTGTTTTCTTCAAACGTATTTTTATATTAAATAGTTCTGACTTTCATAATCCCTTGAGCAGCACAAGGCTATGTACTGGTTGAAGGCAAAACTAATTCCTATAGCCCACAAGTTGTGGGCCACAACGGACATAAATATTATCAGATGCATATACACATATCTTTATTTTGAACTTTTTCATTTGATGACAAACTTTGTGCGTATGTTGTCTAACTCTTGCAAGTAGATCACAAAAATTTCAAAACATGTTTAGCTATTTGTTATATATTTCTAGGTTTTCAGACATTTATTAGAGTAGAGTAGAGTAGGGTTTTTATTCAAAGATTGATGTAGCGTAAGCCTTTACAATCATACTCATTCATTCGTTTCATACAAAAATGCCTTCATGTACATACATAGTTTCATTTTATACTACACAAATCAATCAATTCAATAGAGTATGTCTCTAGTTGAGGTCGTGATCCTCAAGTAGCACCCGGCATCCCAATACAGGCTAGTTGCATACAGTAACAAATAACATGACAAGTATATAATTAATGATAATATATATGTATAAGTAGTACGGATGCAGAGGGAAAACCGAACATTGTGGGTTCGGAAAACCCCTACATGTCCTGGGAAGGTTGCCCAGAACACCATTTGGTCCCTGCTACATATTCACCCAGGTAGGAGAATGTATGGCAGAGATCATAGGCGGATTCCGTGGGGTTGGAGATATCCAAATGAGGACGGAGACGGCATGGCGAAGCAGATAGTTGAAGGTTGTTGGGCGGGGGCTGTCCACGGACCGCGGGATCTTGCCCACGTCCCCCATGGAAGCCGTAGCCGGGACCGACGACACCCCCACTTGCCCCTTCCCCCATCTCAACATAACCAGGTCATGGGACCCCCGTAGACCCAACTATGCTGCCCTCCGCCATGCACGACCCCCCCGTCACTCTTCCATCAACCACTCCCCACGGTCACCACCCCGATTTACCAAACAAAAAACCTACCTGGGGGAGTCCCTCCAAGGCGTAGATCCTCCTGAGCACTGGGTCCATCGAAATCCATCTTCGCCTGGTGGCTCAGCTTGTCGTTGCTGGGACGGGTGTGGCAGGGGGTGTCACTTGGCACGCAGGTGGGAGTGTGAGTGGACGAGGCTCACTTGGCGAAAAGCCTTGGACACACTTTACTTGCCCTGGCACACCCGCGACCCAGATGGAAGAGGATCCAGATGCAGAGCGAGAGAGATACGTGGTGCCCAAGAGGAAGCCAAAGAGGAACTTTCAGACATTTATTAATTGTTGCTTAATTAATTAATTAATTGTTATAATTAATTGTTAATTGATTAATTGTTAATATTACCTTGCATATTAGATACAAGGTAACTAAATACGTAAATCTTTTAGATTAGCTTTAGCTATATTTTGGTAATACTCTGGCGTTTTTGTCGTAAATATTAAATTCACATTTCAGCGATTTTTCTTAAATATATTGCCGTCCTCTGCATATTATGTCTTAAAGTTGGTCGGCTTAAAGTGTACCAGGCAAGCAAGCCCCTTAACTGAAATTATTCACTAATTATACAAATTTTATTTTCGCACGATAATAAATATTATAGTTTTAATTTCATCCTGAATGTCACATATTTAGTTCTTCGTATTTTATACCCGTTCGATATCACTTTTTTGTATGTACCCACCTGTAGAAATAAATACCGTACTTTGTCTTTCTCCATAAGGTGTTGAACTTGTGCATACATATGAAAATATTTACATATGTATCCACCGTACAAATATTTATTTATTTACTTATGTATGCATGTCACCTTAAGTTCGCATAATCTCAACCACCAATATTTTAAAATATTTGTGAACAATGTTTTCACATCTTTACACATGTTGATCCATCCATCCATCCATGAAAAGTATTTCATTATTTAGAAATATGTAATAAACAAAGTTTTATTTTAAGTAATATCCCTCGAAGTAGTCAAGGTTCGAGTCTTTAGCATGCTAATTTTAGCTTGAGACGATAAATCAGGTTGGTTCAGGGTAGTGGTTTACGTATTGTGTGGTTAGTTATTTTTATTCCAAGCAGGATCCCTCAGTCCACGCTATCGCTAAAAAATCCAACCTTTCTGTCAAACATACCAGCCACCACGCACTTAACCATTCACGCTCAGTCAATAAACTCCAAAATTATACAGAAAACCTCGAACACATTGTAGTCAATCAATAACTGAAGCAAATTAAAAATATTTGGGGGAATATATTGTTAATTTTCGCCACTGCTTTCATAATTCTGTGAGTACAAGTAAATTTCTCGGACCTATACAATAAATTTCAGCCGAAACCCATAAGCCAACGTGTTGTATAATACGTCGAATCGAGATGGATCTCACACCAAGGAAGACTTTTAAATGTTCCACGTGCTGCAAAACGTTCAATTTCAAGTCGAATCTTACCAAGCACGTGGTCACGCACGATACTAACGCCCAAGTGAAACGCAAGGTGCGAGATTATATTTGCTTCAATCCGTGACCATTCTAACTTTACCAAATTTTAATTTTTTTTAGATGTGCGGGAAAATTTCGAAAAACTCAGTCACCCTATATCGACACATGGAAAGACTTCACACTACCCGGAACCGACCCAGGTGCGACACGTGTCACCGGGTATTTTCTAACTTAGCCACTTTACGGAGACATACTGAAGCCGTCCACAACACGAGCGAACGACCCCGTTTGCCATGTGGATTTCCCAGCTGTGACAAAACCTTCCTGAGCAAATACCATGTTTCAAGACACGAAAAAACTGAGCATGCCGAGAACCCGGTTCGATTTCGGTGCACACCTTGTGGGAAAGAATTCAAAATAAAGGCACATCTTGGGCAACACATTCCCACCCACACGAAGGAGAAGCCGTACAATTGTGCCACTTGTGGGAAGAGTTTTTCACACAAGGCAACCATGAAATTTCACGAGGTAAATAAGCATGTTGTGGGGAAAACCTGGCAAAAAATTAAAAATATTCATACTAATTTCACAGGAAATGCATAAATCTACCCGAGAGGTTTTCAAGTGCCAACTTTGCTTTAAACTACTCTCCACTAAATTATGTTTGCATCGCCACATCAAAGCTGTCCATGAAAATGAGAGGAATTATCCGTGCACATTTTGTGACAAAACATTTTCTCACTCATCACACGTGAAACGTCACGTGGAAGCGAGGCACCCTGTGGACAAGGAGAAGATTCACTCCTGCGACAAATTCGAGTACAAAAGTCACTCGAAAGTCAATTTAGCTCTGCACGTGAAACGTCACTTTTCTGGGAAGCATGGATGTTACTTTTGTGAGAGGAAATATGTCACTTTTCCTGAATTGGTTAAACACTGTGGTCGATTTCATACCCTCGAAAAGTGAAAATACTATGTACGTTTGTAATAAGCTAGCAAATTTTTCTAAATTTGCGACATTTAGCAACTCGGCTAATGTGTCTAAAATTCCGTTATTATCTATTGTTATCTACACCGTGGGAATCTGCACGAGCGACATCATGGCTTCTTGTATATTTGGCCAAATATTTTTTTAATTTTCAAATTTGTATCCGTTATTTAACATTTTAGATAATTTCAACACAATGAAATCATGTTAATAAATTAATTTTAATTGATCGTGTGTGCATTATGTTTGGTCGTGAACAATTCCGGCGTAAGAGTCAAAAAATCGAATGGTCATTTCCATTCGATTTGTGACCCGTGAGACACACCCCCCGGAAGAGAGTATTTACTGCAATAAAATTCGTTTACACCCACTCTGAATGGTGTTCATCCCTTGTCCAACGCTGGGGTAATCGTAAGTTGTACCTGAGAGTTACTTATGTATGTATGTACATATAGCAGGTTTGGGTTTTGTCTAGATTTCTGTTTGACTTCATATATATGTATGCGTAGAATTTGAAGTTATGCATGCATACAAATATTCATCGCCATACGGTGAATCTTGTCATTACCGATTCTGGTGGCGTTATATATGTATACCGACTGGTAATGATTTCCTACCATATAATTTAGTGCGGACAATGCTCACGCAAGAATTTATCTACAAACATATATGTACATATTTATTATAACCATAGAAATGCTGACTAATAAAGAAAGACAAAATCATGTATTATTTGCTACAATACATGTGTAAGCAGTACTGCTTAATACGGTATTTATAAATGTTACGCAAAATCCTAACACGTTTAAAAGGAACGTACTTGCAATATTGTGTTTATTTTGCATATATCAATAGAATAACATGTCAAGTTACTAGGTACTTACATAAATTTGTTAATAAAATCCCATTTCTTTCTACCACAAAGTTTCGCTAAATTTCTCATAGTTAGTGAAAATTCGTAAACTTTTCTAGTGTATGAACTCGACCACAATGTCTCACCAATTCGTGAAAAGTGTAGAATTTCTTCTCGCAGAAGTAACATTTATGCTTCATTGCATTGGACGGATTCTGTGAACGACCAAATATTATTTCGAGTGGCTCTTGTACTCGCATTTGTCGCAGGCATGAATCAGCTGTCTATTCGCGGCATGTCTCGCATCCACGTGACCTTTCAAACTTGATAAGTAGCAGAATCTCTTATCACACAATGAGCACGGATAATTCTTCTGATTTTCATGCACAATTCGGATGTGGTTTTGTAAACCTTCCCTACGTAAGAAGGTCCGAGGACAGAGGTGACACTGCAACAAGTCTCGGCTGGATTTGTCCAAATGTGTCATCTGTAAAATGAATATGCACATTGGTAATTTTCACCTAGTTTTTCCCTTAAGAAGCTTATTTACCTCATGGCTTTTCATGTCAAATTCCTGGGTGAAACTCCTCCCACAAATGGCACAATTGTACGGTTTCTCCGTCGTGTGGGTGGAAATGTGTTTCCTAAGGTCATTCCTCGTTTTAAATTCATTTCTGCAAAGTCTGCATGAAAATCGAACCAGATTCTCGGCATGTTCAGTCTTCGCGTGTTGCGAAAGGTGTCTCTTGTTTTTGTAGGTTTTCTCACATCCGGGAAATTCACATGGAAAACGGGGTCGGTCGATCAGACTGTGGAAGGGGTTAACATGTTGGCGCAAAGAGACGAAGTTGGAAAACTGCCCGTGACAAGTGTCACAACTTGGTCGTTTCCGGTTGGTGTGACTACTCGACATGTGGTCAGATAAGGCATGAGGGTTTTTCGAAATTTTGCCACAAACCTAGACAACAGAGGGTTATACATAAACCTAGTTGCGCTTTGCAAATTTACCCTCTCACCTCACATTTGACCTTGGCATCCGGATCGTGCGTGACCATGTGTCGAGTTAATGATCTATTGGTTTTAAACGTTTTTGTACACTTTGGACATTTCTTTCCTGGGTTGTGATCCATCGGATTTCGTATCTGTTAAGTTTGTAGATTTATACAAAAAGTATTTAGTTTGGTATCTCAAGAAAAACTCTATATCCGCACAATAATTGTACAATTTTTTGCTAATAATCCAGACATTTTAAAAGGATTGAAGAACAGGAAGCACATTTCCAGAAATGCTTACTTACAGGTAATAATATGTAAATATTATTAATACTATTAATATGACAACAAATAAAATTTGTACTATTTTTTTAGTCATTTGCCCAACTGTTGTAACCGTAATGTGTTAAACTGCTTACCGTACGGTGTGTCGGATTTCTTAATTATTACTCATTTATAAATGTATGGAGATGTAGCTTAAGAATAACATAAAGTAAATGTTGATTCGTGGCGTGTGAAAAAAGGTTGCGTTTTGTAACCATAGCAACGAGTGAAACCTTGACAAAAATAACCATCCCTTGGGGGTCATACATACATAAAGCATGCGATTAATTTTGAGTTTTTGGGAGGAGTTTCGCCCACACGAAAGTTTAATCACGAGGCGTTATTTATTTTGTACAAAATGAATTGTATACAGAGGAGCTTCTCCAATTATACCGTCGTTGAATTTATTTGTTCGTAGTAGTCTCAATTTGCCATGATAGTTTCATTTAATTCTGGCTGGCATTTTTAATTTTAGCATCCCAACCGGCTATCATGTTGAAATTGATAATTAGATATGCACATGAGACATATAAAATTGCCCTTGAAAATTTTAGTGTCCCGTAAATCACGCCATATTTTCCGCCGCTGTCCAAGTCCTGCCTACATATATTAGAATTAGACGCAATTAACACATGTCGTATAATCCAAGGGGCACTAGAATAGAATTGTCTAAATATATTCATTTCAGATTTACATACATATGTGTATGTATCAGGGTAAGACAGACATGGGTCCCTAAATTCTCCGAAAATCGGACACATGCTTTGTGCATGAGTTATTTTTATTCAAAGCAGGGTCCTACATTGGATGGCATCGTTAAAAAATTCAACCCGAACACTCGAACCACCACGCACTTCACCATTCACACTCACTCAATAAACTCCAAAATTATACAGAAAACCTCGCACACACAGTAATCAATCAATAACTGAAGCAAATTTTAAATATTGGGAGAAATATATTACTAATTTCCGTCACCGATTTAAAAATTGTGAAAGTACAGGTAAAGTTTTCCTGTGCGATACCATTAAAAGAGAAGTCAAACCATAATTTTTCAAATTGAAACTCAACAGGTTTTAAAATATATCGAACCCAGATGAATCTCACACCAAGGAAGACGTTCGAATGTCCAAAGTGCTTCAAAACGTACAAATTCAAGTCGAAATTTACCTCGCACCTCATCAGACACGAACCCAAAGTGAAATGCAAGGTGTATATCTTTATGAAATTTAAAATATTTTCCATCATCCGCGATCTCACTTTAGCAGGTTTTACCTGTTTTTTTTTAGATATGCGGAAAAATTTCGAAAAACCCAGTCGCCTTGTCCAAGCATATCAGAAACCTTCACACTAATCGGGAACGTCCTAGTTGCGCCCTTTGTCGCAGGGAGTTTCATGACCCCGTCGCTTTACGGAAACACATTAAAGTCATCCACGGAACGAGTGAAAGACCCCGATTGCCATGTGGATTTCTCGGTTGTGAGAAAACCTTCCTGGATAAATATCAAGTTTCGCAACACGTAATAACTGACCATGCCGAGAACCGGTCCGATATCCGTGCACACTTTGTGGAAAAGAATTCAAAACGAAAGGACACCTTGAGGGCCACATTCCCACCCACACGACGGAGAAGCCGTTTAAGTGTACAAACTGTGGGATTAGTTTCCCCAGCAGACGAAACCTTAAAGGTCACGAGGTAAATATTCAAATATTTGGTAGGAAATATGAAAAAATTAAGTTACTAAAAAATTTGTTTAGAAAGTCCACCTGGAAAAATCTACTCGAGAAATGTTCAAGTGTCAAGTTTGTCGTCGGACATTCGCAAGTAGACCTGGCTTACAATACCATATTCGTGTGAGTCATGAAGATCGGAGGGATTTTGCCTGCCAATTTTGTGAAAAGATGTTCGCGAATTCTTCAAACTTGAGGCGTCACGTGGATGTGAGGCACGCTGCGAACAAGGAGCAGATTCATTCCTGCGACAAATGCGAGTATAAGAGTCACTCGAAATTCAATTTAGTAGAGCACACGAGACGACACAATGTTGCGAATTGGCGAGAGTGTTACTTTTGTAAAAAGCAGTTTGCCACCTTCCAAATGTTGGTCAGACACTGCGGCAGGATTCATTGCCTCGAGAAATAAAGGAGTAAAACTGTTTCGGTGTGAGTATAATTTTATTCGCATTTTGTATTGTCCAATCCTTCAATTATGCTTTGTTTGTGCTGCCGAAAGGTCTAGAGACTTGAGAAAGCTTTCACAATTTTGTCCACGTTTATCCGTTTTTAATTGTTTTAGAAATTTTAATAAAATATAAGCGTGTTAAAGAATTAATTTTAATGGATAGTTTACATACATAATGTTTTATCATGAACAATTGAAGCATGATAATAATTCCGATTGATTTTTCACCCATGGCACACACCATGTTAATATATGATAAGATTGTTACTGCATGCAAAATTCTGTGCCAAGCCCTGAATGTATTTATGAATCTAATTGTCCAACGCTGTTCCAAATTTCTACCTGAAAATTAGCAGCCTTTTGTGCCTCCTGGATTTTTGTGTGACTTCATATTTCCATACACGTAGAATTTGAACGAATAATTTTTAGAGTTATTCTTATTCCGTTTTAAAATAAAATTAACTTTTCTCCTCCAGCTTGAAAAGGACGTTGGACAAGGACTTGGCCAAATTTTATGTGCCGGTGTAAATGAGTAGGGGATGCTCAAAAATTCGTACTTGTCATCCAATTCATTCATATTTAATTTTACAATACTCTTGACAAAATTAATGAGAGCTTCGTAGCAAAAAAGGCTTCATAGCTTTTCCCAAGTAAATTATGCACATCATTTGCACCACAGTTCTTAAAAACGGTATCAAATTTGATAATGAAGGATTCAAAGTTGATCGTCCAGTGGTTGCCAGCCAACAGATTCAGGGCAAATTTTTGCATAGAGCGCCGTTGTGGATTTTTGCGAAATTAATTACAGTGACACGTTGTACCAATAAGAACCCAAAACAATAGCGAAATTTTTCCAAACTCTCAAGTTATGTTTGCAATAAAATACTCAAGCAAATACACTCATATACCCATCGAATATACTCATATTTTATGCTTAAAACATTATTTATAATGCGTTTGTCCTCAATTTAAATAATTATTCTGGTAAATTTTATCTCATTTCCCCTTTCCGTCACCTTCTTTATGGACGGATTTTGACCGATTTTTATGCATGCAGGATAAATTCGAGCCTTTTCCCGAAATTTCACAAGAATTGGGAGAAATTTGATATTTATAAAATTTCTAGAAATAAAATAAACATTAATTTAGGGTTTTGATGCAATTAACTTTCCTTTTCTGCATGACTAACTAATACCTAGTCGTAATTTAGTCTGTAAGATAATCCACTTATTTTTTATAATGTGATAAATTGTGATAATATAAAGTTACGTATAGATTTTACTATTTTTTGATACAATTTGATAAGATTAACGATATTTTATGAATTATGAAACTGTCCAAAATAACCAAAAAATTGTAACCTTTTAAGAGGCAAGAAGATAAATAGCCAAATTTTGCCAAGCTTCCCATGAAGCCGTGGAGGCGAGGCACCCCGCGGACAAGGGAACGATTCACCCCTGTGACAAATGTGAGTACAAAAGTCATTTGAAAAATTGAAAGTGAATGTAGCATCGAAGGCGTCACTTTTCTGGGAAGCATGGATGTTACTTTTGTGGGAAGAAATTTGTCAAGTTCACAGAATTGGTTAGACAATGCAATCGAGTATGGTATATTCTCGAAAAGTGACAATATGGCAAATCTGCTGAAATTGGTCACACCTGTGAAATCTTCATGTGTGACATCCCGGTTTCTACCGCGGATACATTTTAACCTACTATTTTTTAAATTTGCAAATTTTTATTGATCTTTTAGCATTTTAGAAAATTTTAACACAATAATTAGAAGCATTTTAACAAATGGATTTCAATTTATCCCGTGCATAATGTTTACCATGAAGAATTCCGGCGTAATAGTTCCGTCCAATTTTTTGACCTATGGCACAACCCGAAGAGCATCTTTGTTTGTAGCACATACATACACCGAAAAGATCGTTACTGACTGCACACGAAATTCGGTGCCACTCCCTGAATGGTATTTATCTCCAACGAGGAAACAAATTTCTACGTCAAAATTGCAGGCTTGGATGTTCCCTCAACTTTAGTTTGACATTGTACTTCCATCCGCGTAGAATTTAAAGTTATTTCAGAACACGGATTTACCTGCGGTTACGAAAATTGGTAAATCACAAATCCAGAATTCGTAAATCGCACATGTACTGACCATGCACTCAGCATTATGTTAAGTTTGGAACTGAAATTATTGTTATCCAGATTAACCATATAGTTGCATAGTACACTCTTAACAACTTGGTAAAGAATTCTTAATAACCGTCTTTACCGAGCTCTTGGTAATAACGCGTGCTACAAAAATTATACGGGGTTATTACCGTATCAATACCAAACGGGTAACTAGCCTTCCACCGCAATGTTTTAAGTTATCTTTATAATTTTGGTAATAAATTCCTACGAGCCGGTAATTATATCCTACAAATTTAGATAACACTCTTTACCATAATTTTCATTAAGTGTAGTAAAAAATTTTCCCGTTGTGGTGCTGATGAGATCTACATTTTGGTGTAGTTTATTACCATAGAGTCGGGCATTTTAATACATCAGAACCAAGAATTGTGCAGTGGTGTGTGTTACCAGTTGAACTTGGCGCTTGGTTACACACGTGTCTCACATTGTCCAAGCCACCGTCACCTAGCGGCAGTATGGGCACTATCTTGCATTTTCCGTTTCTAGAGGGCGTTTCTCGCTCAAGTGCTAAAACGTTTCTAAAACGATGACGAACACTAGGAAAACGAAACACACCCATTAGATCTGCCTACACTTGATCAAATGAACAGGCTCACCCCCTGGAGTTGACATTTGACCTGTGACATGCGCACACCCCCTAAAATTGACACTACCTATGACCGGGGTACACCCACTACACTTGACATTTGCCCTATTCCCTGGGCACACCCACCGTACTTGAGATTTGACCTTTGACCTGGGCACACCCACTAGACGTTAGAACAATGGCACACCTTAGAGTTGTGACCGAACGTTTTTCGTGGTGACACCCTTTAGAGTCGTGACTGAACGGTTTTCGTGGTCACACCCTTTAGAGCCGTGACAGAACGTTTTTCGTTGTCACACCCTTTAGAGTCGTGACTGAACGGTTTTCGTGGTCACACCATTCAGAGTCGTGACAGAACGTTTTTCGTGGTCACACGCTTTAGAGTCGTGACTGAACGGTTTTCGTGGTCACACCATTAAGAGTCGTGACTGAACGTTTTTCGCTGTCACGCCCTTTGGAGCCGTGACTGAACATTTTTCGTGGTCACACCCTTTAGAGTCGTGACTGACCGGTTTTCGTGGTCACACCATTCAGAGTCGTGACAGAACGTTTTTCGTGGTCACACGCTTTAGAGTCGTGATTGAACGGTTTTCGTGGTCACACCCCTTCGAGTCGTGACTGAAGGTTTTTCGTGGTCACTCCCATAGGGTCGTGACTGAAGGTTTTTCGTGGTCGCACCCTTTAGAATCGTGACTGAAGGTTTTTCGTGGTCGCACCCTTTAGAGTCGTAGCAGGACGTTTTTCGTGGTTAGACAAGTTGGAATCGTGACGTGACGAACTCTATTATTAAACGTCGTGCTGTACAACGTGACAATCAGGTCAACGCTCCTTTGCTCTGTGTGACTGTAAATATGTAACAATTATTCATCAGACGTTTGTATCGCTGACTAAATAAAATCGTTTTGCTTAGAGCCCGCATTGCGGGCTTAAGAGACTAGTTTGGTATGAATTGTGAGACGCTACTCAGTGGCGCATTTTTCACTTTTAGTTTTCGCTCAGCTCAACTCGAGTCAACATGGCGAAATTAATTCGCGTGTCCAATTCTGCCAGTGGAAAAAAACTGATAAAAACATCTGGAAATTATACGGAATTTTTGGAAACAGGTAAGTATAAAATTATCATATGTATACACCATCTTAATAGGTAGTAAAGTAAGCAAGAAAATAATCTCTAGTAAATAACAATATCATGTTTTTATTTTTTCAGTGAGCCAAAAATTTGAGTTGGAAATTGGAACAGAGATTTTTCTGCAAGACGACCAGGGGGCGGAGATCGACGACGAAGCTTTCCCTATCCTTGCTGAAAGCCTTATCACCCCAAATATTGAATTCTTTGTGAAGGGCGAAACACAAACCGAAGTAGAATTGGATCCGGCCTCTCCAGTTTCATCAATAATTTACGGTGAGCAATTTATCAAATTTAAATTATTTCTAGTCTGCAGCTTAAACAATTTATCGTATCTTTTTAGTTGCACGTCCTGATGAGTCGCCGATGTCCAGTAATGGTTTCCGAAGAACACAAATTTTCTGTTAAATCTCATTTTAGTTTAGCATAGAGTAAGAATTTGAGCTTCGTTTCAGAATGAGAGTGCAAAGAGTTTTTGGTGTGTGTGAGAGAGAGAAGGCATGACCGTGTGTAATTATTTTAATCTCTTCTCAATTTAATAAATAGTTTAATTAATTTTCGTGATTAGTGGTCACTATTAAATGATAAGTCAGCCGATTC